TTAAAAAATTGATTATTATTATAAGCTTAAAAATTTGATAATTACAAGTTTATCTGTCCAAACCTAAACACAGGCCAATGTCAAGTAGAAGTACTGACCCAATTTGCCATCTCACACTGAGCTATTAGTTGACAGTCAATACAGATGTAAAATTTATTTTTTCCTCCCTTTCTCTTCTCCCTCCTCCTCCTACAGTTAAATTACACAGCTCTTGCACTTGAGATGTTACAATACTCATTAGAGTTGGATTAAAGCATTCACTACTTTGCAAATTGATGATTTAACACTTTTTAAAAAAAACAGTTTTGAATGGCATGTATTGTGTACAGCACTGTCATTCCTGTAATGTAGAGGCTGCTGTGTAGGCAGACAGCTGCTAAATGGCGCAGGACAAAATATAATGTACACTATACAATGAGCACAAGAACTGGTTGAGCGTCTGTTGATTAAGTTGCAAAACCGGCTGTGTGGTGATGTTGTAATACCAGCACATGCAGCTGTTGCTTAAGGAAGACATTGTTAGCTTACATTTTGTTTTCTGATTTTAGTGCTGGCCACCAAGAGATAAGCCAGGCCACTCACTCACTTCTCTAGAGGGTGTCCCAGCCTTGCTTACTCCAGCCCACCTGTGTGCTACACATACACACTCCCAGTACAGTGCTGAAGGGGGACCTGTACCAGTACACTCGGCTGATTTTAACCTTCCTAACCCTCGAAAGGCTAATTTTCCTTTTCTTTAAAACAGCTCACTGAGCTGATCAGGAGAACTATATATTTTTCCCATTATGCTTCCTTCCTTCGGGCATCAAACTCCGCCATTGAGTGCCCTGAAACACTACCTTGTGTAAATGGTGTTGTGTAAATGCAAGTTGTTGTTTGGCTAAAGGTTTTCATGTACTCGTGATCCTAGTGATCCTAACATTCAAGTATCTATTGATGACTGAACCTAAACTGTGAGACTCAGCAGGATATTTGCCCGAGGAGAGCACCTAAATTTTCTTTTTTTCTGTGAACCTTTCAGTAAGTGTTGTTGGAAGTGATTAAAACTGGAAACTTCGATATACTTTTGTTTTGTTTTCTGTCCTCCTCTGGAGCCCAGGTAACCTTATACCAGTTGTCTCCCTGACTGAAACCCACTAGTCGTAACACGAACTAGATTGAACCTGGCTTTTCCTGATGCGCATTGTGTGATACATTTATTCCTTCAACCATGAGGCAGCCCATTAAATTAGGTGTCTACAACAAGGTGTTGGAAGTTCAGGCTTTGAATTAAATATTTTAGTTGATAACCATTTTTTACTTGGGACCTCTATATGTTGCGTGACCAAATGTCATGCTGAAATATCCAGTTTTAAATTTTAGTATAATTTGTCAAGGTTATTCCATTTCTGACAGCTGTGTTTTCTAACCAATTTAAGGATGCTGCTGCCTTTCTGCACACTTACTAGGATTTTATTAAAGCAATGTAATTGCATGAGGTTTGAAAGCTGTACAAAAATGTGAAGCCTCATGGGCAGGCAGATTGAATTAGAGCCCTTGTGACTTGGGCAAGGTGTACCCCTTTAATGGGTTGGAATAGTTTTTTAAATCTGATTCAAATGTAGTTGATTTCCTATTCAGATACAGTAATTCAGTTCTCTGCAAGTTGCCAGTTGATCAAATTCAGTCTTCTGCCATTTTTGTTAGCATAGTAATCAATTTTTGTTTTCTTCTCCAAAGTAGTGTGCACTATGTTTTGCAGAATTTGTCATGGTTGCAGTGTAATGCCTCGAAGGTGAACAAATTAAGAGAAAAGAACGTGCAAATGCATAGTAATTTATGTTGAGACATCTTAAAGTGCTTCACAAGTTATTACTGTTAAGTCTAGTTACTTTTATAGGCAGCGACAATGTCATTGAATCTCATTTTAGACTCTGCTCTAGTTCTGACGTGGGACTTGAACGTTAAACTTCATACCCAAGTAGTGAGAGTTGCATGTTAAGCCAAGGTGATGCTTGAAGCTGAATCCATGTGTAAAAAGATGAAGCTATTTAATCCAATTGCATTGGATATATTCATCCTTTAAAATTGTAGGAAAGATTTCAGTTTCTAAGGATCACCTTTAGGACTGAAAACAATTGTTGATTCCAGTCAGACATGGCTGTGTAGTACCTTTCACTTAATTCTACTGAAGACTAATGACCCATCTTGTTTTGCTTGGTTTCACTTACCACTTCCTTTCTTTTCTCCCCCCCCCCCCCCCCCCCCCCCCCCCAACCCACAAACCGGCCTGCCCACTATCTATAAATATCTCATTGTTCTGTTCCCGCTTCCCAATCAGCAATAAAGTCAACAGATCAGCTGTTGCTGTCCAGTAGTTGGTAATTTGAGCCACCAATGTAGACAATTGTAAACCTTCAAGACATTCTTTACATTTAGGCCATTCGTTCATTATGTTACTGTATTACCTTAGTATCTTTGGAATATAATCATTTGTCTGGTGAGTTCTATGCATTAACTCTACAATGAGAACCTTTCAAACAGTGAAAGCGATTCTTTTTTATTAAACGATAAGTGGCTTAATTCATTTAATGAAAATGCTGCTTAATGAAAGTTAATCTGGTGTTTTTTTTCAGAAGAATTGGTAGTTTTTAAAAACTGGTGACTTTTGTTGGTGAACAAAAGTACTAGTTTCACCAGTTAGAAACTATCTGCAGAATTCCAAATGAAAGGACTAAAGTGTATTCCATTGTCAGCTGTAGTACTGAGCTACTTCCCTCAATGACCGTTAACAATATACAGTATTCATTTTTCTCTTTTATTACAAAGGTTCCTTTATGGAGTATAACTTCCATCATTGAATATTAAGTAGTTGAGACGTTCCCAATATTACGGACGCTATTTATTTAGAAATTTCTATTTCTTTTGTCCTTCATCCTCGCTGTCAATGGAATGCATATTTGAAAATGCACTCTAGATTTGTAAAGTTACAAGTGCAAATGAAACATTACATTACATGAACGTTCAAGTGAAATCATGTGGAATTACTTGGGGTGTTACTAAAAAATCTGTGTAAACGGCATGGAAGTGTATTACAACGTAAACCACAATACACAATGTTTTAACCTAGTGCATTCAGAACTTGAAATGAGAGACATCAGCCAACAACAACTTGGATTTATATAGTGTCCTCCATGCTGGACGGCGTCTCAGGGCACTTCTCAGTAACAGATCCCGGGGCCGAACGAGGGAGAGGAAGGTGACCAAAGGCGCGGTCGAAAAGAAAGGCCTTCAGCCGAGACCTGAAAATAGGAATAGAGGGGGCGAAGAGAGTGAGGAAGGGAGTTCCAGAGCCTCGGGGCTTAATGGCTGAAACAGCCATACTATTTCTAGGAAATGATCTATTTGTGGGCCTGTTTGCATATCCCTTCATATTACTTAAAAGGAATTTCTTCCAGTGTGTTGGCCAACAATCCTCCAGTAAAATTGATCATTTACTGTTTGTGGGACAATGCTATGGACAATATAATAATAATCCTTGCATTTGATATAGAGCTTTACATGTCTTCTAGACACCTCAAAGTGCTTCACAGAATATACTGTGAATTGACTGTATATTTGTTGTGTGTGTGTATATATATAGCTGTCCTGTTGCCTATAAAAAGTGACTATCTGGCAGTAATAATTACTATAAATGATTTTGAGTCGGTTTAGTCTGATAAGGTGTAATAAAAGTGGAAGTTCTTCTAGTGTGAAGTTATTTACATCTCTGTTAATGTTTGCTGCCATAAGTTTGTTTTACCTCTTCTGAAGGACTTACTTTATAGGTATTTGCCGCTCTCCAGCACCTTGCTCAGTAGGCAATTCATATGTGAGCCAGAATGATGAAGGATTTCTCAACTGTGGGTAGCCATCTCTTCTATCACGTCCACATATATACAATTTTTTTTGCTGAAGTTACTTTTCAGCTCTCAGTGCAACAACACATACTGGAGTTCAACTTCAGACTTTATGGGCTCAGTATAGTTCGATTTTCATCTTAATTGGCCTTAATTCCAACATGGGCAATAATCCCATTTCATTTTTGTGCAATAAATTTCAGCTCTTTATCATTTTACACGCTGTTTGCCCACAGAATGAATTTTGCGTGCACTTCAATTAAAATATAACAGCTTTTCAATGGCCACAGTGCCATAACATAGATCAACTCCGCTGCACAGTGAGCTATTGAAGCTAATGATGTGCTCCTGCTTCCTCTTGAAACTAGACATTACATAATCAAGGTTATTATTTGATGCCAAATATTGTCATGAAAGGGGTTTTCAAGGTGTTAGATTTATGCTGACATTCTACAACTGCAGACTGGCTTTTGAGATATTGTAAAGTAGTTCCTTGAGAATCTAAAGCTGACTGACTCATCCCAGCTGAGACATCAGTAACTAATTTCTCTTGGGATTTTATGAAGCTGGAGGCCACGATTATCACCTCATCTTTTATGAATTGGTAGTGAGTGCACAACTCGAATGTTAAAGACCTTGATCTGTTTGTTTTCTTGTTTCAATCCATGCAGTTATGAATTTAGTAAGCTAACACATATTGTGTTCATGGTTAGAGATCCTGAGAATGGCCAGTTATATTGAACTGGTGAGGGTTGAGTTGTTGCCCAGTGGTTTGTTTATGTTACCACAGAAGTTACCTAGTTACTGTCTAAATATACAAAATAGATCTGTATAATGCAATGGCTTCTTCCTTCTTTGTTTAAATGTTCCATTTACATCTACTGTACATAATATCCCCCTATTCCAACTGCTTTGGGACGTCCTCCCAACGTGAAAGGCGCTATGCAAATGTAATTTTGTATTGTAAAAGTGGGATAAAAGATCAACTTTTTCCAATGCTACTTGTGTGTTGCTTCACGACGCTCTTGCTTTATAACATTTTTAAAGGCACAGATTGTGCTTACAGCTGGTTTTAATTGAAAGAGTGTAATCATTGTTTGTATCGTCTTCTGTCTGGTACAGACCCTGGATGGGTATCCATCAACCGAGGAGTGCTTGTTTGTGATGAATGCTGCAGTGTTCATCGGAGCCTGGGTCGACACATCTCCATGGTAAAACATCTCCGTCACAGCTCATGGTCTTCAACATTGTTACAGGTAGGTGATTTGTTATTGCCACATTTATTCTTTTTATTCTCTCTCTAATCTGATTACATCTCCCGTACGTAGCCTTTTTTAAATCCACCTCAGTGTGGTTTCTCTTACTCCTTCCTGTGTACGACTGTGTATTTTGAAGGTAGGAGCAACAACCCACAAGGTGGGATTTAATTGGGTGAAAACTGTGGCCCCTGGGATTTTTTGCTTTATGCTTTCAAAAGTCTAAAGATTGACCAAATTGTGTCTGTAACCATGTTGATTTTTGTGTCAAGCCAATAAGAGTTGCCAGCAGACTAATAAACGTGTTGGCCTTGGAATCTGAAACAACATGGACTTCCAGTTCCAATCCAGTCTGGCAAAATGGGGGTTAAGGCATCAATGGGGCAAAGCACCTTATGTTCTAACTTGACGATGGCTTTGATTGCAAAGGTCAAGAGAATTGCTCCATTTTTGTATTCTATAGATCCTGTACCTTTTTTGGATTGCTCTACAGTAAATTCAAAATACTTTGCTGCTGGTTATTCTAATCCTGGCTACAAAAATACCTTGAACTGTAGGAAATTTTAGTTGCTGAATGACCGGCTTCTACTTGCTTGGAATGAAAGGCGATTTATTTTCTGATATAACCTGCGGGTACTTTTTTTAAAGTAAAATATTAAATAATAGTTAATGTGGAACAGCTACTCACACATACATTTTGTCACTGCAAGTGTTAGAGAGGCTCCCAGCTATTTTATAATGTAACCGTACTGGTCAGCAAAGAGTTCTTAACATTGAACATGGTGCTCATTCGAACAATGGAAACTTTTTAGGTAAAAAGGAAACCTGGATTGTTTCTAAATGGACGTCTGTGAAGAAAACCACATGAATAAGATTATATTTATTAAACTATTGAAACCTCTGCTGTTCTATGTTGCATTTCCTAAGCTCTACCTCTGGAGTACACCCAACTATTTCCTTTACAGATAACTGGACAGGAAGTGGTTTTCCATCACATAATGCTTTCCTACTTTTTTTTCATTACACAGCATTTCCTGTTTGGCAACACCTCAAGCTCAGTAAAACTTGCTGTTTAGAAATTATTTTTTTAAAAAAAACTCAAAGTGAAAATTGACATGTTTATTAACGATTCGCAGTATGCAGGAAACTGTTTAACCTTTTGACCGAGGCTCCTTATCTTGTGAAGCCAAAGACTTGGGGAGGGGAAGAAAGCATGATCTTGATTGTTATTGTGCAGAGACCTGAATATCTCAGTGGCTTGAAAATAAAAGAACTGAATAATGCAGACCATTTGTAATATCTTTTTGCACTATCATTTTGGTGAAATTTGAAATGTCAAAATAGATATAGCATCCATACTACAGAGTAGTACAGCGTAAACACTGAGAGTGGGTTACAATGTTCTGGAAAGCACTCTAGGTTTGAATGACCTCCTAAATCACTCAAGCGGTTTACACAGTCGGCTAAACCCTGAGAATGTGTTACAGCCTTGAACATACTCCCACCGATTGCTTTGTTTTAAAATGTATATAATTTTTTTTCTTGACTAATTTTCCCTTGTGAAGGTTTCTGTTTTGCCTTTTGAGTAATGGCAGGATTTTCAACAATGGGTGCTATTGCAGCTAAACCTAATTCAGCTCTCCACACACATGAACTTCCAACAGGATTGCTGGATACAAATCCTGACTGAGTCAATATTCTCTTTCTCCATCTGACAGCCAATTCAGCGTAGCCCCACAATCTAATCTGGAAATATCCTGTTATGTATGTCTCGGCTGTTCATGGAATAAAATTCACTAGTGTGCAGAGTTGCTTGCCACCTTCAAGTTTTCCTGTGTCAGTTTACTGCCTTGGCTGCTTTCTTGTGTTTTACACCAGCAATATATCAGGCAGGAGGTTATGGGATCAGCTGACTGGAATAAGCTTTTTGCTGCCAAATCCATTCACAGAGGTGTAACTCCTTAGTATAATGTACATTTACCATTTTATTGTGTTTGCTACTGCATAACTTATTCCTAATTAATTAATGTTCTTGCTTATTGTACTGATTGTTGAAACCATAGCAGGTGAAGGTTCGACCACGAAATGGTAACACTTAATGGGTCAAAGTCTGATGACAGCATGCTTTTATATTGTCAACACAATTGCCCTTTTACTACTTATTCTCCAGTTGCATGTCTCTAATTACATTTTTAATCAATCGGGTTGTGCTCTTGTGTTTACAAAGTTGTTTTTTAAAAGGCACAACGGTTGACTGCTTTAGGGCATGGACACATCAATTGGGATCTCATGTCATTGGAGGGATCATTTTATTCTGTTTCTTCACTTGAGAATCCAAAACCAGTGGTGGCTTTTGCACTGAATGCTCTTTTCCATTATTGCATTTGCTCTGGTCAGATTCCAGCTGACGCAATACTAAGTTTTGTGAGATACAGTGGAGCTCTGTTAGAACAAGGCAGAGGGGGGCCTTATAAAATCCCAGCTCGCCTTATAACCGCATTGCGACAGCACTGATAAGCACTTTTCGTGTGCAGGAAGCCACGCCTTGTGCTTGGAAAAAATAGGCCAACTTCCAGATCATCGGGTCACCGCCATTGTGCATAGGAAGTGATGACTAGACGCACAAGGATCATATGTTATAACTGGTCACTTGCAGTTCAAAGTGTAGAAATTGACATTTTGCAATGATTGAACTACTTATCTACCTACTTATTTAAAATCATGCTTTTCCTTCATTTCGCCGCCCCCCCCCCCCCCCCCCCCCCACATTTCTTGGCATACAGCCTAACCCTGTGATTGTGTTCACTAGTTCTTCTATTACTTGCTGCTAGGCTTATAAATGTGCCACAGGGCAATCAGCTGCTAGGAGGATCTTGTTGGCTATGTTGACTGACCTTTCTTCACTATGAAGGAAGTGCCTCTCATCTGCTGAGCAATTGATTTCTCTGGAAGTTTGCGACTGAATATGGGGAATTGAATGGACAGACTGGTGTTTTTCATCTCTAGATTTCAATGTTGATAAACTGACTAACTTTTGGCAGACAACATTTCTATATATTTACCTGTTTTGTATTAAATCTGTAGTATAAATAATCTGAAGGCATTAAAAAAAAATGCTTGGGTTAACAGTTTTTTAATGCAAGCACACACTTTTAGATTGCGGTGCCAGCAAAGTGAAGCTTTCCTACATGAAAATGAGCGTTTTATGAGTTTGGTAATTTAGTAATCAAGTGTATTAAAGCAGAAATTTGCTACTCCTACCACTACCAAGTGAAACTCTTGACAAATATTCAGTCTTTGGAAGAATAACAACCTGCAGGAACTATGTAGTCATCTCAGTTGAGATTTACCTCTATAGATTTGTTGATGGAATTTAATGCTGAACTGAAATACCAGTGAAGGGGGGTAAACGGAATCATTAATAATACTGATAATGGAAAGTTATTCATTGCAACAAATTTTATGTTTTTGGTGCATGATTGTTCAAGTGAGGCCTTGAATAATTTTCCAGGTAGCTGATTTCATAAACATAATATTCCAGTACAAAGTTACTGTGCACTAATTTTCAGCAGAATGCTGTCTCCCAAATAGGGAGATTAGAAAAATAGTTTTTCAAGAGGACTTTCAAGAGGGAACCAGCTAAATATCTTTAAAAATGAATGGGTCTTTCAAAGAACGATCACAGACAGGGTGTGCCAAATGGCCACCTTTTATTCTATAAAGTTCCATGGTTCTAATGGGGACTTGCTCATTTTTAACACTTGCAAAATGGAAATTGTTCTATCATAGAATGAAAACCAAATAATATTTGATAATTCAGTGTTTTTCATAGGCGGTTCTTGTGAATGTCTATTGTACAAAATGTGCAATCTTTTGACCTATTGTAACTTTTTTGTTTATCAAACAAAAAATTCCGTTTTGGTGATCTTGGTTCCTGTAACCATGCTATCCTCACTATATTTTATTGGCACTAATCAATACTTTAAAAATACCAGGCAGAACTAGGTTAAACTCTTTGTGCAGTCTATATTTTGGTCTTCCCATCTGCTGTATTTATATTGTTTTATCTTCTAAGATTGGATCCTTCCTGTTTTTTTTAACTTTGCTTTGAATTGTATTTATTCTTTTGGGTTCTAATTGGCATATGAAATTTGGGTTGATATTAAATTATTACTAGAAAGTCATTGCTTCTTTAGCAATACTCCAAACTATGGAGAAAGTGACCCTGCTCTCGGAAACACAAACTGTATGTATTTTGAAATGAGTAGCTATAAAATCAGGGTGTTTCGCCCACAAAATATCCAGTCACTCCACTTTACAATATATTTTGTGAAGCACTTTGAGACCTCTCAACAGTGTGATAAGGCACTATATCAAACGAAAGGATTATTATTATTATCGTTATTATATTAACAACCAGGAGAATGGAAGTTAAATTTCTTGTTTTATTATAGTTAGTTATCGGCTTTTTTTTTTTTGCTTTCCCCTCCTTTTTTTCCTATTCCCTAGCCCACTACTAAAATAGGTAGAGGGATGTAAGCATGTTTTCAGACTGCCTTAGAATTTTTTTCAATCCTTGTACTATTTTATTGCAATGTGGATTATACCAAATACAGTGTAGCATAATCATATGGCCCCCAAACATTAATTTTCAATGGCAATGTTTGTGTCTTAAGACTGAAGTGGAATTGGCCATAGTATGTCAGTGGGTAAACTAATTTCACAAACTATAAAGGTATCGGTCTTGATCTTTATTAATTGCATTAAATAACATTTGTCTTCATTGCATCCCTTTTAGATGGTACAGACTCTGGCAAGCAATGGCGCCAACTCCATCTGGGAACATTCATTGCTTGATCCAGCCCAGGTGCAAAGTGGACGGCGTAAACCAAACCCTCAGGATAAAGTCCAGTGAGTGGCTTCTTCTTTAAATATTTACAATATTAGTTTTATTCTATATACTGTGTAGCGTAAGTAAATCGAGATTATAATATTGCATTATAAATGTTACTATCGTTTTAGACAATTTAGCAAACTTTTGGAACGATTGCAGGTGCATGGATAGGCCTGTGAGTGGGTTCTTTTGTTGTTCACAGCCATTCCTGTTGCAAGCCATGGATTCTGTTTGTTTCGACACAAACACTGACCTTTGCTGCTGTTGCTAGAACTACCTTTTGTTGTTTTTGGTTCCATAGTACTCCTGTTAATCTAAATGTAACTAAACTTTTAATGGATTGCTAGATACCAGGCCACAGGTGTAATATTAATTGCATTGTGGCACTTTGATGGAAAAGCTTGCCTATGACGATGGTGAGGTAAAGCAATAAGGGGGAGTTCCGTTTATGGGAGTTACAAGGAGCATGAATAAATCATGAAAGCATTATGCTATTTTTGACAGTTTAACTAATGGATAAGTACGATTTAATTGACAAACTATGGCACACTGACCTTGAAGGATAGAATAATCAATTCTGAAATTAAATCCATATTAAATTATGCAATCGTTAATGTGGTAGTCGGCTTCTGTTGTTCTAATTAATTCAGTTGCGGATCTCACTATAGATTAGCTGAATTTGCTACATTAACTGCTGCTTTTCTCTCCCTCTAGGAGGCACTGATTTTGCTGGGGTTGCGGTTTTATGGCACTTTTGTTTTGAGTTTGTCTCTAGTGGGAAACATGCCTCTGCGAGCAACTCTTAATGAGAGCTGAGGGGGAAGGTGTGGTCGCTGCTGAATTTGGAAGAACCTAGAAATGGTGCCAATTGACAATCTCCCACACGTGCACAAGCGAGATTCCATTTTGAGGCAAACTCCTTATGGAGTTACAGTTTGCCACTGGGATGAGCCGCAAACGCACAATTTTGTATGCAAGCATATTCCTGATGCCACTTTTTCATGTGCAAGCTGACTGTTGAATCTCCCAGGCCTTTACAGCTCAGCCTATCCCTTCTGTTCCAACATCCACACACTTAACAGCAGGGGTCATTGACTGATTTTTTTTGCTCTCTGCCCCTGTCTCCAAAGCCACCTGTAGCATGCTGCTCCAACAAAGTAATCCTAGAAATGCTATTGTTAACTAGGCTTTTATTAAAATATATTTTTTTCTTAACTCTTCAGTCCTACTAAAGCAGAGTTCATACGAGCCAAGTACCAGATGTTGGCATTTGTCCACAAACTACCTTGTCGTGATGATGATGGAGTGACCACAAAGGACCTTAGTAAGGTGAGGTCTTTTACGGGTGTAGGTCATTTTGCATCGTATTGTTGTCTCGGTTTAAGAAGCTGTAGTTGACCATATTTCTCTCAGAATGTGAACGTCAGTCTAAAATCCTTCTAAAATATCACCTTACAGTTCCCCAGGAACTAGGTATGTTTTGGTATTCCACTTGTGACTGTTCATGTGTAAGCTTGTACAAGGTATTGATAAGCTGTTTAAGCAGTTATGGCACCATGTTCAAGCCCAAACCCTTTTGTCTGCTTTTTCAAACATTTACATTTTTCCAGTATTGAGTGGAATCTGCCAGCTGAGTACGAATTCAATTCCATTCTTTGCAGAGATGGCAGGTCCCTTATAGCTTTATTCTCGCCAGTGTGCCCAAACAATGGCCTAGTCTTCCTTTGCCCTTCCATACTGGAACAATAGTTTGAAAGTAGTCTTGGACTGGCCGTAGCTGGTGAACTTAAAACTGGCAAGTTCATGATTTGGATCCTGAAGAATGCATTACGTATATCTGCTGTTTCTTTTGTGGTGCCGTTTCTTTATGAAATTCGTTCAGATTAACATCACTCTCCCCACTCCCGTCTGCTCCCACCCCACTTGGGTGCCCAGCTCGCAATGTCGAGCGCTTTGAGACCTCCTCCTGACACAAAAGATATTATATAAATTGGATAAACTTTATTGCCTTTGTCTCTCCCAGCAACTGCACTCGAGTGTACGGACAGGAAATTTGGAAACGTGTCTCAGGCTACTCTCCTTGGGAGCTCAAGCCAACTTCTTTCACCCGGTAAAGTTCATCATTGAATACATTTTTAACCATTTTATATTTATTATCTGGACTTTATTTCTATTGCGATGTTGTACTAAATTTACTATTTTTTCCCCACTTCTCTTCAATCCATTCTCATTTGCCAAAGTGAAAGTTCCTTTGAGTGATTTTAAAACTCCAGGGGGCTTTTAACATATAACATTTCTATTTACACAGCCACTTGATTTTACAAGTTTATTTTGTGATTTTTTTCTCAATAAAAGTTCCTTTGGCAGCTGTCACTGTTGTTCAGCATCAACCTTGTGCCTTTGTATTTTCGTTGTCTTGCAGCTCAATATTTTATTAGCGACCAAGGAGAAACTAATTAACTTTCACGGATTGCATTAATCAGCAGCGGCTGAATTTGTAACCTGAACACGTTTTCTAAAGTACAATAAATGTTATATTTATCAGGAAAAAGGTACCACTCCACTGCATGTGGCTGCCAAAGCAGGGCAGATACACCAAGCTGAACTTCTGGTCGTTTATGGTGCAGATCCGGGAGCTCCTGATGTTAATGCCAGAACTCCTATAGATTATGCCAGGTCAGTGAAAAGGCCATAGTTTTTTTTATTGTTGTATGTATTGCAGTTTTGCATATATATTTCATGTCATGGAGATTTGCAAGACTGTCTAGAATGTCAATGTACCTTTTCAGTTAAAGGTTTAAGGCAGGTATTCGTACTGTAAGATCTTGCGCCAGGTTTGAAATTTGTATGTGGAACGTGTGCAGTGTTTATGTAACTATTTCCATTCAGCTTTGTACTTATTTAACTTTGGAAATCGATGAACCATTTTATAATGAAAATGAATCGACATGTTTTAATGTTATCTAACTCTGGAAATGAAATGCCTGGGAGGTTGCAGAGGGGAATGGATAATTTGATATTATGCAATTAAGGCATTTCAACAACATAAATTGAGAAGGCGCTATATAAATGTAAATTGTATTGGTATCTAATGGGACTTTTGTGTAAATCAGCGTATTTAAGAAAAATGTGTTCAAAGTTGCCATTCAAAGCCAATTTTCCTCCGCCTGTTGAATCAAAGGTGTTAACCTGATTGAGGCTAGTGTGATTAATGGTATACAACTATGGGCTTAGCTAAGGCTGGAAGGCAATCTGAATTTTTTCTATTGGAAATATAACTTTTTTATTAAAATCACAATACATGTTATTTAGGTTTCCTCAATCTGGATTTGTGTGACAGCATAGACAGACTTCTCATTCCTCCCTCCCTGTTGTTGAAGTGTGATCTTTGTTCTTGGCAGACAAGCAAATCACCATGAGCTCGCTGACAGACTGGTGGAGTGTCAGTATGAACTTACAGACCGACTGGCATTTTACCTGTGTGGGAGGCGGCCAGGTGAGTGAGTCAGTAAAATAAATTGCATCTTCCCTGGGATTTAATTCTGTTTTGCACCTAACAACAAGAAGATTACATTTGTATAGCGCCTTTCACGTCGGGAGGGCTTCCCAAAGTGCTGGGCAGTGTACAGCATTTCAGACCTGAGCTGGGGTCGGGGGAGAAGGGGAGTGGTGAGGCGGAGTGATTGGGGATGGAATTCCAGAGATTGCAAGCTATTGTAGCGACCTAACCAATAAATACAAAACCTAATCAAATGCAATAAACTATAATATTATTAAACAAACATTGATCTGTATGGCACCTTGTGAGGTCACAGGTTCCACTCTGCTTTCTAATGAGCAATTATTTATAGAAAGCTGTATGAGTACAATTGTACACACAGCTTCAGATGAGATTGATTTCTTAAAATGCATTATTGTTATAAATAGATCACAATTGGAGCTTAAGATGTAGTATTGCACAAATCATGGCCTACATGGAGTTGTATTGTTCCAATCTCCTTGCAAGTTGTTCTATAGAGAAGGTTCTAAAATGCAGATCTTATACCATGTATACTCTCTGAATGCTCGATTCCTCTCTGCCATTGTATGCAGTATTTTTCACTTCATTCAATTCCTTGATGGAATGGGCTATTGCCCTTTCTAGAATTGTTATCAAGGGCCTGGCAAAATGCATATCTCCTGCTACTGCAATGACAAGTGCTCTCTGCTAGACATACTACTGAACACTCTTAGAGGAAGAGTGGATTTCGGCTAATTGATAAGAGAAATGATTCATATTGAAACTGTTCTTCGTTCACACTCAGTAATATTAGATTTGTATCCTACCTGCTCAATTCCATTTTCAGTGTTCCTATTAGCTGAAAATGTATTTCTTTAGATTTATATCTTCTGCTAAAACTGGTTTAACATTGAATCCCAATCTTGAATTTTCAACAATAAATACCTACTTTTGGATGGAAGTAAACACATTTTTTAAAAAACTAAGGAACAATCTGAAAAATCTGTTTGTTAAAGTGCAATTTTTTTAAAGTGCAGTTAATACGTCGTTCCCAACTACTTTATTTTTTTAAAAAAGTTTCAAAATAAATCCCCATTTTCACCAAATTTACATGTCAAATTTTCTCCTGCTTTTATTGACAGAAAAAATAACCGGCTTTTTTATTTTGTGAATTAAAAACTGATTCATGGATTTTTTTCTTGCAATATTATGCAAGGTACCAGCAAACTGCAATATATCAACTTTGTTTTCATCATATAGTAATTGCAGTACTGCAAACTGCTCACAAATGGCACAAGTGTCATTGTCATTCATTTCTTACTGTTATGGGAAAGCTATGTTGTAGCATTAAAGGTGGAGGTACTCCAATGCAACAGTTGAACTCTTTGACGTACTATTGAGCTGCCTGAAGTATTCCTCTAAGAATTGTTTAGCAAGGAATGAGCTAGTTAGGAACTCGCAATGCATTTTAATGATCAAGGCCGCATCTCTCTTTGGGATGTCAAGATCTGTTTTCTTATTAGCTTAGCATTGAATGCTTCTATTTCATTTTTCATAGATCACAAAAATGGACATTATGTCATCCCTCAAATGGCTGACAGGTAAGACTCCATCTTGTACTGAAAACAACTGAGTGATTTTCTAGTTAACTAACCAGAAAGTGTGCAGTTCAGCTGCTAAGTATTTTTGACAATTTTCAGAATTCGGAATGCCCCACTTTTTCATATACTAATTATTTTCTTCCTTGTGTCTCTAAGGTGTACTTGTTGCATTGATTTTCTTTGTTATATAATAATCCTTGCGTTTGATGTGTTGTTTCAGAATTTCCTCCAAAAACCTTTTGTTCCTTAGTCCTAAGTGTGGGATTTTGTTCTGAACGAAGCACATCTTGAACAATCTTTGTAGAGATTGAGATTTAGACTGTTTTATTTACAGCCTTTACAAGTATTGCAAATCAATAGTAATAAAACTGTTTAAGAAATGCCAAGAGGCTGAAAATAAATAACTCTGTTGATTGCAGTTACAAAAGCAGGATTTCACAGCTGTTAAAAATCAGGTTGTACTCAATTTGAGAATTGTTATAAGATGTTTATTTTTGATGAACGGCACTTGGAGCTTGTAATCCAGCACTCATACCATTAGTAATTCCATAGCACAATTGCATCATACAGACCCGGAAGGCCGGTGTTGATTTAATATGAATAGCATTTATTGCAAATGGTAAATCAGTTCAGATTTATCCGCGCGTGTGTATGATGTGTCTGTCTGTCAGTCACAGTGTACCTTTTTTATTGATCAGATGTTCTGCCATTCTAACTTCACCAGTTCTCAGCGGTTTGCATTTGGTGTGCTACAGTAATGCTCATTTGTTACTCTGATCCTTAACTCTATAACACTTGTTTTATGAGAATGAAAGCATCAGTATGCATAAGCACAGATTTAAAATTTCTACTGAATCCAATTAATAAACATTTGATTCAATAAACATTTCAAGAGAGGTTTTGAAATTTCAGCATTGAGACATTTACTGTTGCGTGTTAAGGAAATGTAATATGGCAGGTATAAAGTCGAATTGCAAATATTGTAGGGAATAGTTTTCACTTCTAATATTGTTGCTCAGATATTTGATCTTCAGTGGCTGCATTGGCCTGCTATTCACGGAAATATTCTGAAAGGCTAAGCTGCTGGAGGGCAATGCACACAGAATGGTAATACAGGTGTTGATCAACATTTTCACACTTGGAATTATCCATGCCAGGCAGGCATGCTGTTTAAACTGTGAAGGGTAATGTTCCAGATTTTTCCCAGTAGGGAGGAAAATCTGAGCGCAAGTGATGAATTGCCTGTGTTTTTCATTGTTTGAAGCCCTGATCGTTGCTTGATGTTGGGAGCTAAAAGACAGCAAGAAAATGAATTAATTTATTTTTCTAAAATAACATCTGAATAAAATGCTATGTTACTATGTTCCCTGATGGCCTGGTGGTAAAAGTACCTACTCAGTGGTACAGCACAAAAGCATAGTTTGCTGATTTAACCAAACCCAGACAGAACACTAGTTTGGGTAATGGGATTGGGTTTGGGAAGGAAAACTTGCTGTTTCTTCTTGCTGGAAGGAGCTTGTGTATGGACATCAGATAGATGAACAGAAGCCAGATCCAGATTTATTTTGTGAAGCCCATCAGTCAAGTGGCCTGCTAATTCTCTTATGCAACGAATCATTATTATTAATAATAGATGGTTTGAGGTACAGCAGACAATTGGTACTGCCAGTACTACTGAATAGTACCTCACAGATGCCTTCAAGAGGAGTTTTTTAAAAAAAATCTATTCAAATAGGTTGCCCGAAACAACAGTCTATTTCACTTTCCCACCGTGCAGTTTATTGTTGACCTATATACTTCAGGCAACCGTATCTGCCTGATAGACTGAGTCCAAGGGAGAGGGTGTTGGGAGTGCATCAAATAATTATTGTGCCTCTGACACTTGCACTGTCAAATAGCTTGTGAATGATTCAGCTGAAAATGTTAGTGACTACATTTGGAACATTGTGCGACTTTTTAGTGACTCATCCCCAATTCCTGGAAACCAGGGTTTGCAGGATCTGTGGTTGCAATGCCAGTCACGAAGATCATAATTTGTTTGTGCTGCCTCAACATCAACTTTCCTCTATGCTTTCTTTCTCACAATAATTGTTGCTTCCACTCTTGGAGAAAGCTAATATAGTAGATTCTCTGTCGTAAAGTGGTTAGTGAGGGTGTTGGATTAGTTACATGGAGCTACATCAAGTGATACAGCATGGAAACGGGTGATTCGGCCCAACTAGTCTGCACCTGTCTTTGTACTCCACATGAGTTCCCCTCAGTTACAAAAGAAAAGATTTAAAATGTGCCCTTTTTGTTTATCTGAAAGGGTGCGACTATGTCTCGCTGGCAGGCTAAAAATATGAAATAACCTGTAACATTTGCTCGGCTTTGTGTGCCCACTTATTTACAGGGTAACTGTTTTATGTGTTGATGCTGGTTTAGCTTTCCTGATGCACTGCAAATGGAGGTGGAAGTGGCTAATATGATTTAAGTCGCGTCTGTGCAAACATTTGACAGGATATGCTAAAAATGTTGTTAACCAGGTGTTGTTTTGAGACCTTGGCAGCATCCTGTGTTTGTTCCTGACACGTACGATCTTTCAGTTGTGAACCTTGGCTGGTCCATGCTGTTAACAGTGAGATGATCGTTTTACTCCATGCTTTCAAACCGAGGCCCTTTGCGGTGATGCTGCAACAAGATTCCAGTTAAAATGTTGCCTTTAATCATTTCCAATTATTTATTTGAGGCATTGGTCTGATTTCTAAAGTGGCCAGTTTGCGCTGACAGTGTTAAGAGAAAACCTTTGCTTTTCTGCCATCTAGTGACCATAAGTCATAGTTGAGAAATCGGTACCCAATCTGATAATTGACTCTGAAGCCAGATATCGAATTAACCAATTTTACCCATACAGTTAATGTAATTTCCTCTGCTCCTTCATGAAATCTATTAGCCATTTTATTTTGTGTTATTAGCTGTCTTAATCTGACCTAATAGAATTTACTATATTTGTGCTGTACTAACTACTTTCACATAGTTTTAGATTGTCTTGTGTGTTTTCAGAAATATTTCACTAGTATTTTTAAGCAAACTTGCAAGCATTGACTAGTATTGCAAAATGTATGTATGGCATTAAATTAGTTGTGAATTAATGTAGTGTGAGAGGTCTTAAACACTGAACTGGAGGCAGGGGGACAGACAGCCTTCTCTACTGGCATCCAGTTGACTGATTTAATGGATTCATCCTAACTTAAACTGTGGTGGTACTGGTTGCAGTGAATTCTGCCCTGCATAATAAACCCCGTTGTTTCCACAGTACTGGGACCCTTCAGCACATAAATGAGTCTCACTAGGGTAGTCCATCCAACCTGTTTTCACACCAGTGTCTCAGTTTCTCCTGTCCCTTAATTTTTTAGTGCAACAATCACAGTCTCCACCCGACTTGCTGTAATTAATGGACTTGTAATCATTTCAGTGTTCTAACCTTGGCAATGTTGTAATTAAAAGTATAATTTGCTTGAGAGCCCTGGTGACTGCAAATGGGTCTTTAGTATGGGCGTGCAGTACAATTGAACTAAATGGCGAGTTGTGGAGCATGTTTCTTTAATTATTACATGCAATGAGATTTTAGGCTGCTGATTTTAGGCAAGCTTGCTATAAATCACAGCCTTATTGTTTTGAACACTAATACAGTGCTGTTGTTTATATCGCGTTGGAACTATTTTTGATTATAATCTGTTAGTCCCTTGTGAGAAGGAGATATTTAATATTGCTGGAGGGAAAAATGGAGAAGTATAAACATTCACCTGCTGTCTAATAGACTGGAGGGAGATTAACATAGGCTGCTTGTTCTAACAAATTTTCCTGTTTTTTCCCTCCTTTGCATTCCTTGGAAAATAGAACACGACAAAAATGCATGACGCAGAGGTATCTTTTTATTTAGCTCTTCCATTTATTTACAGATTCAGCCAGCACGCTCTGAATTGTACACTGTTTCTTGCCTGTACTATGTTGCTTGCAGCGTGCATAATCATCCTAAGAGGCCCATTGGAAACACTTGACCATATCATTCAAATGCTAATATCTAAAGGGGTTTAATTTAAATGGATTATCAAGAAGTTGTAGTAAACGTGTATTCATCCTCTTACCATTTTCTAATGCAAATTCAGTGTTAAGGGTGTCAGCCTGGCTCAGTTGGTAGCACTCTTGAGTCAGAAGGTTGTGGGTTCAAGCCCCACATCAGGACTTTAAGCTCATTGTCTACACTTACACTCCAATGCAATGCTGAGAGTATGCTACATTGTCAGAGGTATGTCCTTCAGATAACATGTTAAACCAAAGACCTGATTGCCTGTTCAGGTGGATGTTAAGATCCCATGGCAATACTTAAGAAATTGGAGTTCTTCCGTGCGTACTGGCTCAACATTCCCCCTGATAAAATTATTCATTAATTTCATGGCTATTTGTGGGGTTTGTGAGACATTGCTGTGCATAAATTGGCAGTTATGTTTGCCTGCAAAATATAGTCACTGCACTCTACAGTAAATCCTGTGAAGCAATTTGAGCCTTTTAAACAACTTAATAAGGCACTATATCAAATGCAAGTATTGTTAAGCACTTGAGACTCTTATGTGGAATGTGCTATACAAATACGTATTTGTTTGAATCTAAAGTTGTGCAGTAAGATTTTCTAGTGAGTTTGTCTTTCTCCTAAAATATTCCAAGAAGCTGGTGGGAGAAAATGATTGGAGTTGAGAAAAGCTTCCTGCATTGTGGTGGCAATTTTGTTTCATGATGTTTCACTTAACAAAGCTTAGATAACAACAACAACAAATTGCATATGTAGCTCCTTTCACATCAGGAGGGTGTCCCAAGGCGCTGGTCAGTCATTGCATCCAAACTGGGGGTTGGATTTGAGAGTGGTGGCAGCCAGGAGAGAGGGAAGGTGACCAAAGGTGTGATCAAAGAGTAAGGTCTCTAGAGGGCCCTTGAAGGGGTGAGGCAAAGGGACTCCAGGATGGAGTTCCAGAGATTGGGGGCAGAAACACTGAAGGCCTGACCGCTGTCATGCTCCACCCTACCTTTGATCTTACCGACCCACCCATACCCTCTGCTCGGCAGGCACTGGCCTGCTTTACATCTCTTAATTAGGTTATCCAAATAATAAAGGGAACATTATGAGATTATGTATATATATATGTCACTCAATTTAATATGCATTTGGCAGCCTTCTCTTCACTGTGAGAAAGTGTCAGACTTCAGTGCACATTTTCCATCAAATGGATTAACGCAGGCACATTCTAGCCAGTTTTTCTTGGATTGCACAACACTAAATGTCTTTAAATTTACTTTCCCTTCCTTTCGAGCAGTTCTTTTCCTTGCACTATAAAACGTTCTGCAGTATCAGTCAGTTGATTATATTTTATTGTTAAATTAAAACTAATTTAAGACTCCATATTTGATTTGAAATTCCAATCCCAAGTCAAAAATAGCATAGTCCCTTGAAACTCTAGTGAAACTCTGCTGGTGAGTTCACTACATAATGCAGCCATTACAAACAGTCGCTACATGTTTTAGACATTTCAGTGTGATAAGGTGATGTGTCAGTTGTGAAGATTACAGTAGTAAGAAGCACAAGACCAAGAAACTCAGACTCATCCCTTACCGTGGAGTCCTGTAGCTCAGTGATTAGAGCACACGCCTCACAAGCAAGAGAGCTGGGTTCTATTCCCGGCAGGTCAAAATATTGAGCAAGTTTCCTTACTCCAGACGCTTCTGTTTACCTAGCAATAAGTAGAAACCCTGTAGTTAGTCGATTGGCAGATCGCTTTTCCGGGGATAATAATCCCTCAACAAAAAATAATAATAATTTGGTCATGACTGTTTGTGGGGACGTTGCTGTGAGCAATTGGCTGCTGCGTTCTCCCACAAATATAGTCAATTCACTTTACAGTCTATTCTGTGAAGTGCTTTGAGATGTCTAGAAGATGTGAAAAGCGCTATATCAAATGCAAGGATTATTATCTGTACCAATCTGACCCAGTTTCAAGCAAAGTGCAAATGGGTGCCTTTCTTTCTTCGCTATCTACAAGTTAGGCGGTGGTTTATATAGGGTTAGAGTTCCTGATCACTTTGCGATGTATGTTTTACAGTGCATGTGTGTAAATCAAACCAGGCTGATATATGATAGCCAATTTACAGGCTATTTTTACAGCCAATGAAAGGCATATTGACAGTCAGATTATTACAACTAATAAGGGGTGCTACCTGTGAGTGTGGATGCTCTTCTGATTGATAGAAATGGTAGAGCATTGTATATGTTGAATAGATTTAATTCCTAGCACTGTGGATCTCTGTAGTGCATCTGTTTTGTGGATAGCCAGTCTACAGCAGTAGTATTGTAATTTGTTCTGTAGTTCTGACTTCATTTGTTTTAACACCAGTTGTGTATTCAGAATTCTTGTACTTTCACATCTTTGAATATATTTTTGCTATGTTCCATATCTGAGCACCAGTGAAGAAAGGCAGATTCTTCATGGTGTTGTTTAGTCAGAGTTAATTTTGGTGCTAATGCACAATTTGATTACCTGGTGCCTGAGTTATTGTCTTTGTGTTTCCCTTCAGTAGCTTGGACTTGTCAGAACTCGCTAAGGCTGCCAAAAAGAAACTTCAAGCAGTAAGTTACAAGTAAACAATTACTTCCGTACTATGAATCGGCCGCTGAACTTTTTTTCTTGTATAAATATTGTGCAGATTAAAATGTCTTGTGTATGATGGAGGGAATGTTTCAGATTCTTTATTCATCGTAAAATTAGTCCTGCTGTATTAGCAGTAACTGTTTAATACTTTATTTAGAAATGAAGTAAAATGTGTAACCCGAAGAATACCTGTGATCCAGCCAAGTGGCCATTGTGCATGCGTGTTCCTTGGCAGTGAGTGTCAGCAGGCACTTCAATTGTAGAGGATATCACAGGGAGCCTGACCTCTCCCCACTCAGCTGCCACACACACACACAACCAGTAAAAGGGTATTGAAGAGGGCCCCAAGAACAAACACCAAGTTGTTTTTCTCCTCCCAACAGTAGGAAGGCCGGGGAACTTTGGTCTCCTCATGCAGCCCCGGACTCAAAGCAGTGAGCTCCTGTTCCATGAGTTGCAGCTATACTTGCTATCCCATCGGAGCCACTACTTTTTAATATGATAGGAAAAGGCTAACAAACCTAAGAAATCCTATAATAAATAGGCTTCCAAAAATTATTTTAGTATAATCGAATTTTGACAGTCAAGCCTTTGGTCACCCTCCTACCGGTATCCTCCCCGCCTTCCACCCCTCCTGATCCCACCCACCAGCTTGGGTGCGGATGCAGTGCCTTGGGACGTCCTCCTGATGTGAAAGGCGCTATACAAATGTAATTTGGTATTGATTGTGCAAGTGTTGAGCATACTTTCACAAAGAATAAAACTTGAGGATAAGGTTATAGCTGTTTACTTTTTTAAAAAAATGTTCAACTGGATTTTATGTTGATTTGTAATCTTGAACATGTTTCTGAAATCTATTGAAAGATAATAAAAACTCTGCTAACGTCAATCTCCTTGGCATTTTGTTCATTCTTGAAGTGATTTAATAATAACTGGAAATTAATTTATTAACTAGATTATCATCTTCTGGATATGAATCTAGATCATAGACAATGATTTAATATTCAGAAATGGGGTGATGGCTTAATTTGCATGATTCAATCATTCTTTTAAAATGTAAGCTCAGCAATGGTGTCTAATTGTATCTTTTTAATTAAGTTTGAGAATTGTGGAAAGGTTAAATTATTGCATGATGTGATACATTTTCTTTCCTTACAGAGATAGAATACATATTTTCAAGTTTAGCATATTTTAATTTACATTCCATCCAACGGCATGAATTTCAACTGACAAAAAAAATGGGTCTGTACAAGGCCAGCTGCATTAGTGTTTGGGTACACAAATGCTAGATTTGCCCATTAAGAGTTATGTCCATGTTTTATGTGCAGCTGAACAACCGCCTTTTTGAAGAGCTAGCAATGGATGTTTATGATGAAGTTGATCGTCGCGAGAATGATGCAGGTATGTTGATGGTTTGTGTGCATTTATTATAACCTAGAGCAACAGTACCCCCAGCCTTTTAATTCAAAGCATTGTCATTTTGGTGAAAGGGTAATTAATAATAATCCTTGCATTTGATATAGTGCCATATCATGTCTTTGAGACGTCTCAAAACGCTTCATAGGATATACCATAAAGTGAATTGACTGTATATTTTGTGGGTGAAACGCCAATTGCACACAGCAGTGTCCCGCAAACAGTTGTGGATTGAGTGACCAAGGTGCCCTTCATCGGAGTGTAAATTCATGTTTTGTATTACTTTGCACTAACTCCATGTATTCTGATGTTTGATGATTTAAACAATTACAATTGAATGGTTTAGAAATCTTTTTGTCAGTTTTGTGGCAAGGCCTGGTGAATTCTTTAAAGGAATACAGCATGTTTCTTCTCTCAAAGACTCCGTTGAATTGTTTAGTTTCAACCTTGTATATTCAATGATTTTTGGGGGAGGTAGTGGGCTGGGAGGTAGAAGTTGAAGTTCCACGATACAGTGGGTTAGCATATGAATCTGTGGTCTAGATTCATATCCAGCAGAGGATGATGAAATTAAAGTCTCTCCTCTTGACATAAACTAAGGGGGGGCATGCTTGCATCTATCAGTCTCAATTAATAGTGGGAAATACAATTCCCGGCTCAACAAACCAAAAATAGTTAAGTTGATTTCCACTGGGAACAATACCACCATTTCCATGGGAAAAAATAGAACCAGATGTTAAGTATAAGGAATGTTTTTCATGGGTCAGTGTATAGTATTGCAAGGATATAGCCACAAACTGCCTACCATTGAGTACTTAATTATTGACAGTGTTTCTGAGAGACCTTAAGAATGACTGTTATGTGAAATGAAAAGTTACATTAATGCACTAGGGGGTGCTGGTCTGAAAGTGTAATTGATGTGGAGAGTAATGAGTTTTATCCTGCATCTGGCTGTTCTAAGTGAACCTGAAATTACTTGCCACTAACTCCGGTTGTCGGGTCTAATGTCACTCATTTGAGTGCAATCAAACTACTTGATTTGAAGTTAGTAACTTTAAGCAATATTTGTTTCATGCCCCAGTTGAATCACTCTGACAGTGATTAGTGATGACCTAATTTCTAGTATTTTAACAGAATTTAAAGTCACCCAGTGAGGATTCCTTTCCTGTAACTGTTAAATAATGCCATTATGAAGTATTGCCAACTACACATCATATTTTGCCCCACATTCTGATGTAGTGTGTTATACAGGAACCTAGGTTTAGGAAGATGAGAGAGCAGTTGTTGAACTGTACCATATTTTGGCATTTCACTCAATTTCAGCTTTCAAAATTGGCAGAAGTGCAGCTCTGTTAAACGTGTGCTAAACTTTCTGAGTCCTTTCAAGAGATTAGGGAGGAATTGATAAATCTGTATTTAACAATGCCAAAACTAAACTAAAAATTCAGTTAATACAGTATTCTGTATCACAAAGAACAAATTATTGTGCAATATTTAAGTACTATAGATTGACCCATGGAAACCCCTCCATATATGTAACATCTGGTTCTATTTTTTTCCATGGAAATGGTGGTATTGTTCCCAGTGGAAATTAGCTTAACTATTTATTTTAGGTTTGTTGAGCAGAGAATTACTTTCCACTCTTAAATACATTCATGAGGGTGGTTGTTAGGAGCTGTTTCAAGAATTAAGCTTTCAGTTCCTTTCCACCACTGTTTTTGACTAATGTACCAACCAGCAGAAGCGAAGCAGAACCTTTGCTCGTGAGTCAGCCTCTGTCAAGCATTTTGTCTTGGTGAGTCATAGGAACAGGAGTAGACCGTTCATCCCTCAGGCTGATTGACTATAAGACTTCCAGTAACGCACAACTTCTAAAGCTATTTTGTATATTCTAAATGGATCATTTTTTTCAAATCAAATTTCACCTTCCCCCTCTTCTGTGACCATTACCACATCATCTTGTTCCCAGACGCACCTTTTCTCTCCCTGATCTGCCTGTTTTGTTGCAATTCTTTTCCCCCCATCGCCCCCTTTTGTTCTGCAGCATAAACACATCTATTCCCTTGCTTTGCTGCAATCCCCCCCTTTGTTCTGCATCACTAACACCTCTTTAGCTCATCGTCCCCTGTGCTTTACTCCATTTTCTCCTTTGTCTTGCTTGCCCTGCCTCTTCCCTCTCTGTTAGGCCTTAAAAGCCTCTCCCTCCCAACATTCCCCAGTTCTGACGAAGGGCCATGGACCCGAAATGTTGACTCACTTTCCTTTCTCCATAGATGCTGCATGACATGCTGAGTGCTCCCAGTGGCTTCTGTTTTTGTTTTCTCATTTTGATTGTGCAGAGATTGGGGATCACACCATGGATTTTCTGGATCCATATGGTCCAGTTTCTCTTTAGCAACTTTACCAACAGGACTGGATCTAATTGTCAAGATTTGTATTCAGACAAATTATAAAGGAAAGCATTCCATTGAAATATCAGTTAGTTGTCAATTTGGCCTTCAGACCTATTCGTATTTTCAGTTAGGCAGAGTGCAGTTACCAGTCTGCAGAGCCCACAAGAACAGCTTTGAACTTCTTGTTGACTGAAAGACATAAAATAGGAATTCAAAGACATATGACTGCTTCAGAAATGTATGAAGATGTAATATCACAATCCTTGTCCAATGATCTTTGTTCTTCTACTTGCTGAGTACTGGTGTCAAGATTCTGATCTCTATACAGCTATGAAAACCTGACTGTCTTTCCTCGTTTAAAATCTTATGAAACCAGACTAACAACAACAAGATTACATTTGTATAGCGCCTTTCATGTCGGGAGGACATCCCAAGGCGCTGGAAAAGAGACTAATTTAAATCAATAAATTAGCTTGTTTCCTCCTCACTCACATGAACACAATTATTTGGCTTCCATCTTAAAAGAAAATTAAAGCTTAATAGGAACCCGAAACAAACTTTGGGTGTGTAACTAACTTGTACTTCATACTGTACTGTTAACTTTTATGCTTGCTTGAAGCCACCTCAATGACAGTACCAGGATGCTGCTTCTTAATGTGAGTCAAAGCAGCTCTATTTAGTTTAATGGTAGCCATAGCTTTCGGCTAATCTGGGAGCTGATTCTCATCTGGCCCCTCCTTTCTACAGCCATCTCTTTTCTTTCCCCTTCCCCTCCCACCCCACCAAATCTCAGTGCTAATTTGATACGGTTACATTGCTGCTGACATACGAAAAAAGTGCTTTAAGACGTTTAGACAACATAAGGCTCTATATCAAATGCAAAGATTATTATTACTTCACTTCTCCCACTGATTTTCAAAACCTCTATGCCAGTTCATTGAATGGGTCTGAGAGATTACTCCTTTTTTTTAATGAAACAATTTTTCATTACAAATAAAACATTTATTTCTATTGTACTTAAAGGAAGCACTCTAAAATCTTATGAGCTAGCTATTTGACCAAAAGAATCATTGCTATGCTTAAAAGGAACTCTTCCCCTCCCCAATGTGTGTTGCTATCTGCAAGAATCAATAACAGGGTTTTTAGCCAGGAAGAAATGTAGGAATGTGCTTACAGGGAAGAGTGCACAATATTTGCAGCCAACAGACTTTGCTTGACTGAAAACCTAGCCATTTTTGGAAAAGCTTTTGGTGGTGTAACTTTTATAGTATCTGATGAAAGTGAAGAACATGTGGGTAGTTAAATCAGCACGTGGGAGAGGAGGGAGTTGTCTATGAGGGAGTGGAAATGTATCCTGCCCGCAGTTCAAGCCGTTTAGTTCTGCAGAAAGTGGATCGGTTTAAATACATTTCTGAAATCCATTAGCCAGTTGTTCTTTTGACATGTTTCCTAAACGCATTAGCTGCAAGCTACCAGACAGGAAAAGGGATTTAATATCAAAGTTTATTCCAGCTAAGTAGTTCAGAGCAGGAGGTTCGAACAGTAGTAGATGTGTTACTTTTAAAGTGGTTTTGACTTGCAGTTCTACAGTACATATAGAAACTGACATTGTCAGATAAGAATTGGGTTTAAGTTCTTTTCATATGTCAACCTGGCTTAGTGGTAGCATTCTCGCTTCTGAGTCTGGAAGTTTTGGGTTCAAGCACCATGTCGGGACTTGTAATCACATAATCGGGACTGACAATCCAATACAGTACTTGGGGTGGGGGGGGCGTTGCAGTGTTGGAGGTTCCGTCCTTCAAAAGAGAAGTTCAGCCAAGGTCCCGTCTGCTGTTCAGGTGGATGTTAAAGATCCCGTGGCACTATTCAAAAGAAGGCAGTTTCTCCCACGGTCCAGGCCAACAAATTGCTCAAATAACATTGGTCACTTTCTCCATGGCTGTTTGTGGGACACTGCCGTGCACAACTAGCTGCTGGGTTTGCCCACAAAATATACAGTCAAACCCTATACAGTACATCCTGTGAAGTGCTTTCAAATGCATCAACGACATAAGGTGCTATGTTAAATGCAAAGGTTATTATTAATTTTATGTAATCTTTAGTTCCATTAAATGGCTTGACAGCTATGTAAACGCATGTTAGTCCATTTTAAGCCAAATTGTTGAGACACTTTTTGCTCCCATGTTAATTATGGCTTATGCAGAGTTCCCAGCGCATGAGTCATTTTGGCCTTAAATTGGAAGCCTTTGTTCTACTTTGCGATATAATGACCCACGGTTGCTTGACGATTTCCTTAGCAGTTTAGTCTTCAGCCATTGTTATAGAGCTGAATGGATGGATATGAGATGTCTTGTAGCAGCTGGGGGCAGGGGAGAAAATAAGAGAGAAGGAGGGGCTAATTGTGGTTTGTTGAAATGTAAGAACATAAGAATTAGGAGCAGGAGTAGGCCATTCGGCCCCTCGAGCCTGCCCCGCCATTCAATAAGATCATGGCTGATCTTCAGACCTAACTCTAATTATCTGCCCTATCCCCATATCCCCTAATCCCTCTATTTTTAAAAAATCTATCAGTCTCAGCCTTGAAGATGTTCAAGGACTGACATCTACAGCCTTCTGGGGTAGTGAATTCCATAAATTCACTACCCTCTGAGTGAAGAAATGTTTCCTCAACTCTGTTCTAAAAGGCTGACCCTTAATTTTAAGACTGTGACCCCTGGTTATAGATTCTCCTACCAGAGGAAACAGACCCTCAGTGTCTACTTTATCCGCCCTTTAAGACTCTTATGTTTTAATAAGATCTCCCCTAATTCTTCTGTACTCTAGAGAATATAGCCCTAGTTTATTCAGCCTATCCTCATAGGTCAGTCCCCTCATCCCATGAACTAACCGAGTGAATCTACGCTGCACCACCTCTAGGGCAAGTATGTCCTTTTTTAAATAAGGAGACCAAAACTGCACACAATTCTCTAGGTGCGGTCTCACCAAAGCCCTATACAGTTGCAGCAATACTTCCCTACTCTTGTACTCTCAACCTTTTGCAATGTAACCATTTTCTGAAGAAACCTCTGGCATTAGATGCCACAGATGTTTTGAGCAGTGAAATGTTAGTATTAAAGAAATAAACTATCAAGTGTTCTATTTGCCAAAATACTCCACTCAGCAAAATGGAGAGTGTGGGGGAAAGGAAAGAGATTTGTGAAAGGAAGGTGGCCTGGGATGGGTGAATATACCATTTTTTTGTTTGGTTGTCTGGTGATCAAGGGATATCTATAAAGGAATCCATAGTGGGATGGGTTTTGCACAATCTGCGAAAAGAGCGGTCTTGCGGGTTGAATGGGATTTGATGCTTTAACTAAAGCGTACGACTTGCTGCTAGACTTGCTAGTTCTAAAAAGCCAGGGTTTTCAGTTAACCCTTTAAAGCGAGGCTTTGAGAGAGGAGATAACTAGCCTAAGAAGTTCTTGTTCACTACTTTTTATAATAATACTTTTTATTCCTTTCGACTTGGATGCTAATTATTTCTTCAATTTAGTCCTATGAATGGCCAAATGTGCCAACAGTCAAAAAGATCAGCAACAAGTGAATGCATCAATTTCAGGGAATTGCACGGATTGGCATAATTGTATGTACTATAAAGAATAGTTGAGTGTGTCCCAGATTTTTTTATTTGAGTTAACAAATGTTCAGAAAATATTCTGTTAATATTTAATGTCCTTTTTAATATATAATCGCAAGAGTTGATTGTTCACCTTTCTTTGATTTTAATGAAAAATCCGTGCTTTGGATATTCAAGCACAGTTGACTTGAACACATCTGTTTAAGATTAATTTATTTACAGAGTTTAAAATACCAGTGAAAAGCAATCCCTTGGCACAGTCTGCTTGGCAACATACCAGGGTTAGCTTCTGGAAAAACTGGATTTGTTTGGGAATAATGTTGCCCTCTTAACTATTTTTCCTTGCAGTTTAAGAAAAAGCTGCACTGAAACAACTGTCAAATGATAATGTAAAAGAGCAATATTATGCTCACTCATGCTGCCATCTTGTCTTATTTACAGTGTGGCTGGCAACTCAGAACCATAGCACTTTAGTGACTGAGCGGAGTGCTGTACCCTTTCTTCCAGTGAACCCAGAATATTCTGCAACTAGAAACCAGGTATGATCACAATGCCCTTTTTTACTGTTTGTATGTAGGTTTTTTTAAAAAAAAGGTTACTAAGAGCAACATATCCTGACTTTTTTTTCTTGGATTTAAAAAATCAACTTAAATGGTCCTTAATTATCCTTGACTTTGTACGTTAATGAGTTTTTTTGCCGATCCCCCTCGGTCTATAGTAGGGATGGTGATGTGTAGAATTATATTGAATTAAATAGAACACTACAGTACAAAAACAGGCCAAATAATTTGATGGTATTTATGCGCACATTAATGATGACTGTTGACGGTGATGATAAAGACTTTTTAACACAATGAACATACAGGCACACATTCATTTAGTAAATAATCCATTGTGAGTTAATTAAGATTAAATTGTAGTGTTTTAATAGCCATTTGCAGGCAATCTACAGTCCAAACCATGGATTTTCTTTAAGGATCCCGCTTGGATAGTGGGAACAGCACATATCTTGCTGTCCTATTTTTGTACGTGATGCTTTTTTTCACACTTTCTTTATTCACACGACTATTTTTAAAAAAAAGTCAAGTTGTGGAGGTGTTGTACCCAGCTGCTCTCCAGACTTGCAGCCCAGCTGTTCAGTGATTTTTTTTTTGTTGGGAGGTGGGGAGAATTTAGTAAAATACCCCACCTGGCATTATTTCCACACAAATGCACTGCTGACTGGATTCTTTGCAGGAAACAGACCGTGGGAAATCAACAGATACCTCACCATGTATATTTTGACCCTTGTGCTTCTTGTTGAGATATGTGGCTATTAAAATATAAAGGTCTCGCAGGATTGTTGGAATCCACAATCTGTCTTTCCCACAAAAATTCAATCCATGGGGTCTGATGTCATATGAGCAGCCAAATACTCGGGTCGCATATCTGCAAAAATTTGCTGAAGTTTGAACTTTATTAGTCTTCACAAACAAAATCTTGGCTCAGGGGAAGGGTTTAAATCAATAAGATAAAAATGAGGCCCAAATCTCGAAAGGGAGATAAATTCAACAAGTGTGCAAGACATGTTTTCATACGACTTTGGTGCAAATTAAATCCGGTGACGTAAGCTTATTTTTTTTCCCCTGGTAATTAAAGACGAATACCTAGCTTGTTATTGTTGGAATATCTTTTTTTGCTATAAAATATAGTTCTATTTTGATTTTTACTGCCTCATTTTTCAATAGTAATTAGGACAACTTTATCTTTGTGAGGGATTTGGTGGGGGGAGAGGTTGATGAGTGTTTGTTGGAAAGAAGGACCTTGGCTCTAACACCAAACTTGTGTTCCCTGCTCAGTGCCAGCAATTTGCAGGTATTGTATTACTGTTGAGGGGGAAGAAATCACCAACAACCATCATTATGTTAAACCTATCGCTGAACGGATTGATTTCATGATCCTCACAGTCCCCTTCATGCCCTGGCCCCTCCCTATCTCTCCGACCTGCTTACTCACCCAACCCGCTGCCTCCACTCAACTGGCTCCTCCCTCCTCCATGTCCCTCGTGCCCCCTGTTCCACCATCAGTGGCCATCCTTTTTGCCAATATGCCCTGGAACGCTCTTGCTCGATCCCTCCGCCTTAACCCTTCCTTCCCCATCTTCAGATCATACCTGAAGCCCTTCCTCTTCAACTGTGCCAAAGTTCTCCTCCACCCAGCTCAGCATTGTGCTCCGCTACTATTTAGCACTCTGGGACGCCACGCTGCATGAGGGGGCGCAATGTACATGCAAGTTATTGTGTTGGGCAGCATCTCACTTCACGAATTTTGAAAGGTAGAGGCTCCGGAACTATAGTTCCTGCATGTATCCAGTGAAAAAGAGGAGAAAGGTAGCTAAATACATCTTGTTGTGCACCACTGGGCCACTTAGATTAGAAAGTGGTGGGAAGAAACTAGGTGATGTTATAATAGATGTCTTCTTATCAAACCTCTATCAAAACGTTTAAGATCTAAATGTCTCAGCTGTTGCATTTAAATTGGAAGGTAAGCAAATGCACTGGGAAGAATAGTGGCAATTTTGAGGAGTAAACTGGTCTTGTATGAGTGTCGGAATTAAATAGTTATATATTTGATGAAATCAATGGTGTGGAACTGGCATGAGCAGAATGTACTGTAAGCTTCCCTCTGTTTGTACTTCTGGTTTGCTGTCCATATTTATGGATTGTTTTTCTGTTTGTGTAACTTCAAAAACATTTCTTCCCCTTCTTCACGTGCAGTGAAGGTTAAACATTTACAGATGCTGTCAGTGAAGGGGATTTTGTAAAGATGCAATATATTGAAGACTAAGCAGTGAAGCTAAATCAAATTCTAAGGCTCTCTCTGTAATGGTTTCAAAAATGAAAGCCATAAATCGCAGGGAACTGGAAAAACAAGTAACTTTTTAATGAATGTTTGTTTAATGTCGTGTTTAGTTTTTCTTTTTGTACTTTCAACATATTTAGTTTTAACATTTGTTTTTTTTGTAAATCCCTATGAGTACTGATTGACTTTTTCCAGGTTTCAAAGTGCTAATATCTTTTTTGCAATCTTATATCTACAGATTTTTCTCAAAGAAATTACTCGTTCAATAACTTCAGTTCCAAATATGAACTGCAATAGTAAATAACTGTTCTGCAAATCAGTGTAAAGTGGCAAGAGCTTTCTTTTCTTTTTTATTAAAAAAAAGCATGAAGATGGCCACAGATATTTTAATTAGTAATGGAGGCACTAATGTCTAGAGACGGACTGGCGAAAAAAGTTTTAACTTTGCTGCAGTGTTATTTTAGACTGTTCAGCATTCCAAATTTATCTGTCATCTACAGATCTTTTTAAAAGTTAGTACGGTAATTCAGTATTTTAATGTATTTACATTCAGTGTTACGTAATACTGTATTCCCACAGTATTAGCATTCTTGGACTGAATATTGTAAGCATATCAGCTTTTGAGCTGGGTTGAGGTTTTAAGGTTTTTTTTAAAAAAAATAAATATTGAAGTTACTTCTGTGCCTATGTTCACATTTTTTCCAAATTCCACATTGTAAGCAGCTCCTGATTGCCCTAATTAATCATGGTCCACTTCTGTGTTGATGTGTAATCTTATGTACTTTTTAAGTTTCCTTTTTTAAAAAAATTGCTTCCTCCAGAAACTGGCATTTTGCATCACATATCCCTTTGTGTATCTCATCTATGCAAAAGTGAAGTGCTGCTACACCAAGTTAAGGCACTGCTACTTTGAGATTCAAGGATAAAATGCTAGGCAGGGAGGATGCATTTTGCAACTCGTGACTGTTCTTGGTCTTCAAAAGAATTTTTTATTATGCAAAGTCCTGTCGCTCCCAAGATAAAATTCAGTTGACAATGAATCCCAGCTCCAGCAGTGGCCCCCCTTCCCTCGCCGCCCACATCACTATACTCGTGCTCGTGCGATGTAAATGAGTGAAATTATGATTTTCTATTTATAACAATGCACAGCTTATTTCCTTGGCATGTTCTATCACTGTGGTCTCTGCTGTGTTGATTTTAATTTTTTTCCTATGCTTTGAAATCTCTTGAGTTCAGTGGCTTTGGATTGGCTGACTTACTGGCACGCCTTGCATATTTCCCCAGCTGGCTCCAAATGATCCCGCTGATCATTGGTTACTTTGGCTGTGTGGTTTAAAACTATTTGAAAGTGGGTCAGCAGACTGCGGCCAGACGAGGGACAGGAGAAAAACACTTGCAGAGAAGGAAACCTCTGTCTTGAGTTGAAGCTTAAGGATTTTTTAACAAAGACCTCGTGTGAACGGTGACCTCCAAAGATAGCTTGCTGTAAAGCAACGCTTAAAATCTGAAATATTCTTTTCAGGGCCGACAAAAACTTGCCAGATTTAATGCCCGTGAGTTTGCAACTTTGATTATCGACATACTTAGCGACGCTAAGAGAAGGCAGCACGGAAAAACGCTGGGCAGTCCAATAGGTATGTAACGCATAAAATCCATTACTTTCGAAACTTTTAAGGTTTCAATTTCTGTGCAACCATTGTGTTCGTTTAGCTATTGAGATGTCTGTACTTTCAATGCTGGAATGAGGACATGAAATGTGGTGAATAGTGATGCTTTTCAATGTTTTAATGTACCGTCTCTCTCTTGTAACAGGGCCAGCATTTAACTGACTTGAAATTGCCATTCTTCTGCAATGCTGTATATTTACTGGGGAGCGGGGGGGGGGGAGAGAGCAAAAATGTTGCGTACTAAGTTTTTCCATTACATTCCCAATTAGAGGATTCCTTAAGCATTTATTTGTTGTTTGTTTTGCACAGCTTTGCAGCAATTTTGTTTTTGAAAGATTGGCATTGTGGCCATTTCTTCAGGGAGTTTTAAACAATTGGAACCTAGAATGAAAAAGTAATTAGTTCCTCGGTGTGTCGTGGGCTGACTAGCAGTCAGATTTTCCCACTCACCATGGGAACAATCTGTTCAACACCTCCGTGCAAGATGGAATATTTGTGTGTGGTTTATGAGCTTAAACCCCTAAAGAACTGCTTTATACTGAACAAGATTCCGTTGCACAAACTCCCGTTTGTTTCACTACAGATAACATCGACTATTTTCTACGGAACCAGAATGATGCTCGTAACGACAGTGATTTTGGCGACGACCAGCATGATTACGACAGTGTAGCTTCCGATGAGGACACTGACGCCGATCTGCACCGAAACGCAAACTCATCCCGGAATAATCGAGCTAAAGTGAGGGATGAGAATTCATGCACTCCATCCTCTTCAATGAGATGCATTAATGCTGGCCATTACATTGGTCACTTCGGAAAAATATTCGGCGCATCTAGATTGCCACTTGCTTGCGACCCAAATAATTTATATAATCTGTTACTTTTTCCAGCACACCTCTGGTTCTTAAGTTCTTTTTCTGTTAAGTCTGTGAATTCTTTTATAAGGGTATTGGATTGATATTTGATAAAGAGGAATGTTTAAAGGGTATGGAGAGCACGAGGCAGATGTAGATTTGATCACGTTCGGATATGGATGTGATGGACTGAATGGCTTTTTTTTTCTTCTGTGCTGTAACATTCTAAAATTCTACGATTGTGGTTTCACAGGTAGCAGTTTCTTTTTCATGCTCATGCCAAAAATCGTGAATGCCAACAGACTGATTGTGGGGCGAGTGGGTGGGCAGATTAGAGAAGGGAGACTTTCCATAGAACCCGATCTTGCTCTCACCCACGCACAGGGATGCTGGATCAGGAGCAGTGACTCCGGCTGGTCTGTTGCCCTATACTAAAGTATGGCTAATTACGCCACCTAAACTGAGTTAACGCAGTACAGATGGATACCTCCCTTCATCTCGATACTGATCTGTAAGGCTAGAGACATTTCATAACAGTTGTTGCTCTTTTTAACTAAATGAAACTGGATTTGAAAATGTAATCTTTTACTAAAACCTTCAAGGTTTTAAATTGGTGTCAGGTTTTTTTTTAAAAAAGTGCCTGCATTTTGCAGTACATCTTTGCTGTAAGTCAAAAATCCTGAATAACTAAAGGAAATGCCATTAAGCTTGCCAATGAGAAAAGGCTGCAGTTTAGGTCTTAACCACACTAAAGAGTGTCATTTTTGTCAACTGGTATCCAGCCAAAATCTAGAATAAGACCTTAAGAATTGGATCCAAAACAATACTGCCTTTTCATTGCTCCTGTGATGAGCTAGTCTACAGGAATGTTGCAGATGCACCATTTTAACACTTGTCTCAAAGATAGTGTCTTGGGGCAAGTAGATGCCTCTCATTGCATTCAAACTATGGCTGATATTACTTTTCCTGTCAATACAAGTTCTTCATTGGTCACTAAGATATAATAGGAAATCCTTTGTGCTGTTTTTGAAAAACTTTCCTTAATTAGAGTAATAAAATGTGGTACTATGAATCATAAACTGAGCGAATTAACTGGAGTCAAGTCAATACAGCATTCTGGCAGTGCAGATGTATTAATTGGAATTTTTCTTTAATATCCAGAGTATGGATTCCTCTGATCTGTCAGATGGTCCAATAACACTACAGGAATACCTGGAAGTGAAGAAAGCTCTAGCTGCATCAGAAGCCAAGGTTCAGCAACTAATGAAAGTAAATAACAATCTGAGTGAAGAATTACGTAGACTTCAAATACAGGTGAGTAACTGTAAATACTGATTCTACGCTACGAAGCAGAGCTGTCAGGGAGTGGGGGGGCAGGGGAATCCATTCCTGAATGTTGTGCTCGCCTAGAAGTAGGAGTTGTTCAAAGAATGAAAGTTCAGTTATAGAATTTTGGGACAAACATTTTCTTAGCTCACGTCTGCATGATGTTCACTAAAATGTTCCCATCAACATGAACCAGTTATTGACGACTGACATTTGTGGCCATTGAATGGAAAGTTGTTTGGAGCTTGTGTGGATGGAGCCATGTTTGGAATATTATGCCCAGAATTGGTCTCTATTTTTCTAAGGAAATGATTGGTTCAAAAGGTGTTAAAATGCCTGGTTGATTCTCGGACTTCGATTTGTTTTTCAATCAAGCTGGACATTTTCATTTGTGAGTCAGGTCTTTAAAATTCTGAGAACATTAAATGATGTGGATTTCAGACTATTTTGGCAGACTGGGGGAAAAAAAAACCCGTTTTCAAAATTAGAGATTAAGAGAAGAGAAAAGTATGTATTAAACCAGCTCTCTCAGCAATACTGTTCAAGTTAGCTCTTTCAACATAAATTGGGTGAATGTGGGATTGGAGGCTCAAAATATTGGTGTGAAGAATCTGATGTGATTATTACTAGTGACTATTGTGTTGAACGGTTGTCAATATCTAGTCCATGGGTAATATCCCTACCCACTTTGTCAAATGGTTGGACCCAAAACCTGCCCGATGTAGTCGTTAAACTTACCACTCTGCAAATCGTGGCATTTCAGTACTAAACTCAACTAAACATGCACATTTCTTCCTTTGCTTTGCTGCTTCTTTATCTCCTTTGATTGCATGTGATTTTTTTTTTAATTTCAATCTCCATTTGGAGATGTGAGCTGGTTTAATGTGAGCTCCCTCAGTGCCAGAGATCGTGCGTGCTGCCAAACTCTGGATGTCTTCCTGTTGACATCATTCACTCCATTTTGGTTCCATAATTTTCTTACACTATTTGATGTCGACAGGAAGTGGTTGATGCAAATCTGAAGCTGGTCCTTATTGGCAATAAATCTGAACCTCTTCCAGCTGTGGTAGTCCTGTTTGCATTAAGCAATGGAAATTTTTTGAAACCGAAAACTGTTTTAGAAAAGTTTTGCAAAATTAGATGAAAGAAACGTGCTCCTTTAATTATTGTAGATTATGAAATTTGTTTACTTGTAGTCTGTTATTTGCCAGTTATTTTAGTGCTTTGGGAAAATGTGAACCCTTTTGATGGTGTTTTCCTTAGTTCAAAGCTTTCCCTGAGCAAGGCACTTCCAAAGTCAGCCTGCTCTCGTTCTGCTACTGGATTTATATTGCTTCCCCACAGGTAAAAATTAATGGGAGAGAAAGTGTTGGCTTAAACATTGAAGCTTCAAAGATAAAAGAAGGGGAAATGCTGCAGTCTAATAGTCATTAAAATATCAACTTCATACTGTTGTGGTTCCTGGTTCCGTGTGTTGAGAAATAGCCAACTTTCCAAACTACCAGATGCATGCAACAGGGCTGTTAACTAGGGGAGAGAGTGTGTGAGTGCACGAGCGCGCGAACAAGCGTGTGTGACTCAATTAGAAAGCTAGTGTTTGAAATGAGCAAGCTATCTGTTTGGATGAGGAAAAACGCAATGATTTTTAAAAACGTTTAAAGTTAAGCCTTCAACTATATAACTTTTTTTCATATCTTGGCACGTTTGCACAAGATAAATTGCAATCTAGCTAATTAAAGCCTCTATTCTTAGCATTTAAGGAAGACTCTTTTATGAACTTCAGAGTTCAGTTATGCTTTCCCCTCCCTGTTTCTATGTAGCCAACATAGTGAGGTGGATTAAATTGACCCATCTTATTCCAGTCGCCCTTTGCTGCATGTGCTGTATACTTCAATTTCTTCAAACGTGTCCTATAGCAGATGAAACTAGAGACCTCTGCAAACTGCTTCCATGGGAATTTTCCAGCTTTAAGTGGATAGAAAGAGCAGTCTTCTATGTCACAACACATTGGTTTGTGTAACATCAGTTACTCTCAGTCCTTAAACTTGAAGTAACAATACTAGTTGACTATTGCTGATTTGCCTTCTTAGGTAGGCCTTTCAGGTCATATAGCAGTAGTTTAACTGCTGTCTGCTCAATATGAAGAATTTCTGCACAGATGGTTACAATTTAATGTCAGTTAAATTTAATCTTGAGGGGGCATATTTTGTCAGGTTTTTTTTGAGCATCTTGAGTTTTTGGACAGCTTGGGAAACCCACTATTGCTGTTCACTAGGTGGCAGATGCTATAATTTCAGCAACCTTGAACCTACAACAGTTTTGTGTGTTGAGACTGATTTTTTTTTTAAAAAATGAACCTGTGGTTGCTGTCTGCAATGTCTAACCTAGTGATGAGTGTTTCATGTTTGAAGCAGTAAGCTTTTGTGTCACAATTTTTGTCAGTTTATATCAGGAAATACTTATACAAGACTTTGCTTTCTAAAGTAACCTGGCATTGCACCATTATGTACAGTCAATTATGTAAACCGTTGCTTCAAGGTTGATGTGCTGCAAACCTGAAATAAAGTCCATTCACTCAAAGGATTAACATTTCCAAAGGCTGCTGTCTCATGTTTGCCCAAGAAATCTGCTTAAAAATTGAGCATAGTTTGGGAAGAGGAAAATAGTACATATCAACATTCTAGTGTTAGCAGAGTCCACTGGCATTTTCTCTTGATGAAATCTTTACTTACCTATTTCTCTTTAACTCCTTTCCTTTTCATCGGGCACCATAGCTAGTTTGGCTTGTGACACTAGAAGCATGAAATAAGCTTGATTTGCACTTGCTTCCCGCTGATATTAACCACGCTATTCATATGCTCTAACACTTGTACAAAACTTAATTAATGCAGAAATCCTGGGCATATAAATGTTTCGGAGCCTTCCTCAACGATTGAGGCAAATACCCACGCCGCAACCGGCTACATTTTTGCTCAGCCGTGAGTGGCCACAGTAATGTTTCTGCAAGTGTCTCGGACATTATTGTTTCAATTTCCTTCCATTAGTGCTGCTGACTAGGTGAGTCTCAATGCCTCTCCACCTGGAGGCAGCAATGCCACCTATTTATCCTGCAGTCAGCAAAACAAGTGGAACAATAATACACTAGTCCACTACATCATTGAGGTTATGATTTCTATGCAAGCAATGTTCCCAGTTGTCAATGAGCAGCAATTGTGTGCTTTAATTATATAAAATACTTTGTTGACTGTGGGTATGTTTGATAGGTCCCAGCTCAATCTTTGATGTTAAATTGCTATTTTAAGGTGTTGCATTTTTCTTAAAACTTTCAGATTAACAAACTACAGACAGAAAATGCACAAATGAAACAGCAGACTCCTAGTTTGCATCCAACACCAGTTACTAGTGACCGCCAGGACTTTGCTCCCCACGGGGGTGCAAGTAGACGTGACCGACAAGCCTTTTCAATGTATGAGACTGGATCTGGGCAGAAGCCTTTTGGGCAAGCTACAGATGACATTGTCACGAGACTGCAACCATTGGAGCCCAATGTAAGTTGATCCTTTGGGGAATGGAATTTAATTTCAGGCTTGCATTGCAGCACATCGCCATTTAAGATCACTGGTTTCCATACACAATTGTGCAATGTCGCATTGTTTTGTTTAAAAAAAACAAAGTAAGAATAATTCCTACCAGGCAAAAACAAAATCTTTTTTCCCCCCCATCCATCCTATGTTTCATGTTTTCCTATGTGGCACGGGCTTCCCATTAGTAATGGTTGAAACACAAAGTCAAGAATGAGTCTTAAAAGATAGCCACAGAGCGGAAGCTTGAATATTATTTGCTAAATCATAAGAAAATGGCAAATAAGAATGGAAAATTCAACTTGTGAAGCTCACTCCCTCCAGACCTGACAAACCTCTCCCCCATCATGGATTCACTCATATCACTCTGTCGTCACATGCAGATCAAAAAGGGGTAGAATGCCTGAAATTTTATACCAAGTGTACGCTGGAATTTCACAATGAAGTGAAGTTCAATTACTTTTGCTTTCTTTCATCAAAAAGTTTTTGAGGGATTGAATTGGAATCCCTGAATGAATTTCCCAGCACCACATTCTTTTTGAAAGAAGCAAATCTGTTCTAAACTTGCACAACAGAAATTCTAAATGCTTCTTAAAAACAATATCAATCAAAATGACATTCTGCTCCACCTAGTGGCTGGAATAAAGTCGAGGGAAGCCCATTTCAATGTAAAGTGGTTACTGCTCACAAGAATGGTTTCAATGAAGAAGTCTCTTTAAACCTGACTGATCTCATCCTTCCAATATACCGACTGCACTGTCTCCCCAGCAAAGGATCGAGCTGTTTCTTAAATAGGTCAAGGCAAGCCTGTGTATGTGTGTAGGTTAAGGGAATCAAATTTTAATTATTGGAGTTGATGATGCTCCAGTGGAAGTTAATTTGGATTTGTTCCCATTTTTATTTCTTAGGAGTAGCTGATAGTGTCAGCCAAATGTTCCAAACCTTGAGTATCATGTAGAGCTAGTGGGCGGATTATCAAAATGTGGTTCTCATCTAGTTTTCCTTCAATATTTTAAAGTTGCTGTGGACACGGATGCAATTTTTACTGTTTATTTTTTTAAATAAAGCTTTAGGTGGCTAATTCAATGTTTAATTAAAGTAATTTTACAGAATGCTATGTATCTACTATGAAATTAGTTGTGCACATCAGGTTACAGTCTGCCAGAAAGCTTTGTTCAGTACAAATTGATTTTGGGGTAGAAAGAAGTTCCTTTTTATTTTAACAATCTTAATGATCTGCAGTATAATTCTTCATTGAGGATCTCTTCTGATGAATGATGCTTTGCTCGTGCTATTTTATTTAATTATTGTAGTTTGCACTTCACATTAATAGTATGCACTTTCTGGCAGATCTTCACAAAATGACTCTTGCCTGTGTTTGACTTCACGGTAGCATGGAATTGTTTAACCAATATTTATTTGATGCAAGTGTTGTGTAACAAATCACATGCATGGTTTATCTGTGACCGTTTAATGTCTATGCATGCCATTGTTTACACTGTCCCTTCCATGTTGCAGATTCGCAGGGGCGTTTCCGTGACCTCTGTACCCTTTCCCCTCTCTCCGCTGCTCTCCTGTTCACAGGACTGTGGCAGATCCGTGGTTAAGTACCATCTCAGTTGGGCTCAAGTAAGAAGGGGCAGATATTCCTTTTGATAACCTTTGGTATTCTTCCTTCTCAAACGACGGGAGGCTCTTTTCTTGGAATGCCAAGTCACGGTATTCAAAACCTAATTCAAGAAAATCGCTCCTTTTGCTTCAAGTCATTTAGGATCTATTATAATCTGTGATAATCAGCATCATCTGCTTGTATGCTACTTGGAACGTGGCATAGAGGAAGATAATCCAAGCTATGCAATCTCTTGAATCAAAGATCTCATTTACAGTCTATTTTAACTCGACTGAAGCTTATTAAAAAAGTTGCGTTGCCAGAAAACCAAGGTTCAGTGTCTTGTAGAATTTAGTTTTAGATATTTTACTGCAAGCAATATTTTAGTTTATTCCTCTCCTGTGACACCAACACACGTGCAATTACAGTCAGAAAGAGTGACGGGATAGTGATCAGGTGTGGGAACCTTGTTTTGCTTTGTTTTGACTCTATCAAATTGTAGTGACTTGAACTGCCGCTATGTGTGACATTGGCTAATTTGACACAGAACTAGGAACTGAACCTGATTTTTCTAATACATATGGCATTTTATTCGATGCTTATCAGGAAAGTAATTTCTCTCCTCCTGTATGTTTTAATAGGAAGTACAATTATCTATTCTGAGATGAACTCTAAAGACTGGAATCATTAGTTTAAATTTAACTTTAACGTTCCTTAAGTTCGGATACAAGTGACCCGAGGAAAATGCTTAGAATGTCTAATGACAGTAATTGTAATGTGCTTTTGAAAAGGCTACAGATCGGATTTGGGGAATCGGGGAAAGAGTAAATTGAAATTGGTTTCTGTGAGGCATTCCAAAAGATGAGCCTTTGTTGCTAAGCAGCCCCGTTTACTGGTGCACATCCAGCTTCTGCTCTCCTTTCTAACATCTTTTGAATGGTATAATGGCTTGGTACAATAACATGGTTAGAAACCTGTCTAACATGGTTCGAAACTAGTGAGGCCTCTTTTTAAAAAAAAAATCAGTTAACCCATTAATACTACTTTTCTCCCATCTTTTAGGACTATATCATAATTAAAAAGAATTTCAAACATCAGAATCCGGTTTTGTAATATTAAGCAAAATCAGCTAATAATTCTAGCTCAATTTAATAACTAGTGTGGAAACTATTAACCAGTCTGAAGCTTGGTATTACTTGGATATCTGTGGGGGGTTTTTAATGGTCAAATTTATGAATAGTCTTTGGGGTTGAGAACAATGTGGCTTTGTGGACAAAATCAGTGAAGAGTCCAACTGGTGAGCAATTTTGTTTTCCCCTTCAAGAAGTCCAATTTCACCATAGTTTTAAGCCGTGGTAAACTATAGTTGAGAATGAAAACTTTAAAAACATCCTTGTACTTTGTCTTAATTTTTAAAAAAGTGAAATTATGGTAGCTCTTTCATTCAACAGCTTTTATTTTGTTTTGCATTTGCAAATGCTGGTTTATTACCACAGAAATGTTCCTGTGGTGACAATATAGTGGGCCTTACAGCACTCACAACCAGCTTGTTTTTTTTCTATTTGCAGAACTTCCTGTGAATCCCCCACAGAATTGTACAATATTTTACAAGAGCTCAAATGAATGACCAGCAGCCAACATCTTAAAATTAGTGAAGTCTTTGTGTTTCAGCAATTAAAAAAATCACTTCAAACGCTGGTGCTGAATTGCTAACACAGTCTGTTGAATTCTAGTCACTTATCTTGACTCAGAATAATTCTGGTCATAACGTATCCACTCTGGCAGGATAATCTGTGATTTATAAAACATGTGGGGAACTGTAGTGCTGAGAATATAATGGTTGTTGGCAGGCAGATGATTCCGACATCTGACAGTAGTGATGAAATCAGTTTGGTTTGACGGTCCCAGCTTTTTTGACTTCAAGAACCAGTGCCTTTATAATTATCTACATGATCCGTCATTAAATTAGATGTGTTAGAAATGCAATGGTCGGGCTGTCCTATTGCTTTTGTATCCTTTTTGCAGCATTACCCAATGAGTTTCCTTGCAGTGCATGTACCTGCTTGACATTAATCCTGGTAGTTTGATCAACTTCCAGTGGGTTCAGAAATCTGATGATTGATTTACTTGATTGTTGCAATCCAAACGAGATGTAAATGTAATATGTGAAGCACTTAGCAAATTGAGGGGCAAATGAGATTGTTTGCTCTTATTTTAAACTAACCTAAAAGTTTTGAAAAGTTAAATCAATACTTGTACATTACAGTGAAACAAACCCTTTTATTTGATTGTGGCGATCTACAATTTTTGTATGAACAAATATGTTGCCTTTGATTGTTTGTCCTGAAATCATTCATAATATTTTTTAGTCCGCCCAACAACGTAGGTGAAGGTGATGGGATTTTATTTTCATGCTGATTCTAAATTACTAAATAGTCCAGTGTTTTACTTAAAATACCACAGCACATCCATTTTTCAAGTGCAACGTGTTCAGCTTTCAAGTTGATATGTCAACATTCTGCATTTGAATATGCACCTGTTCTGAACCTCATTCGTGAGCAGAATAACACTTGGGGTTAAGGTGCCAAAAATGGAAGTTGGGCTGTAAGAGTGTGTAATATTGTTCCCATTATATTGAGAATTCTAACATTTTTTTCCACTTGTGTTTAAAATTTCTTCTTGAACTTTTGTCGGACTGCTGGTGCAGGTGGATGCCAAGCATGAGATTTGCATGTTATTGGCTGTTAAAGAAACACTAATTTCAGGTTCTGCATTTGTTTTGTTTTTTAAAAAGTCTTATTGAAAATGTTGGTGATTAAATATGGGACATATTTGATTCTATTTAATAGCTTTATGTACTTTCATGAAAGTAAGGGGCATGTTAAAGCAAAATGCTTTTTTGGGATAATATAAATTGACTCTATGCAAGAATTACTCCAGGCCCTCTTCCCTAAGAGGTTGTATTTTATCATCATTGTACAATGATCAGATGTACTTTCTTGTGTTTTGATACCCCAAGATGAAAGTGATATCAGTACCAGTATCCAACACAGATGCGTTGAAAGCTTCACAGATTACGGGCTTTCTCTGATGCTATCTAAATACCCAGTTCTAGCCTGTGGCATTTTAGGAAGAATGTCTTGTACAAGCTACTCAGATCTTGTATTTTTTTTGTGCAATCTTCTCTGCTTTTTGAAGATAAATGGAGAAGCTTGTCAGGTGGCTGTGCCTTTGTAAAGCATTTACCAGGGACAGTCTATATTCCCCAGGGCATATATGGGAAGCTGATCTGATGTTCAGTACTGAGTATTGTTTTCTTTCATTTCAGTCTGCTTAGTGTTGGCATTCATTCTTTCATATGGTAAAATTGTGACCAGGTAGACTGGGTACCAACTTGTTTTTAGTCCAGTATTTTGTGGTTAACCATAGAACAGTGTTGATTGCTTATGGATTGCACAGGATCTAAATAATCATGCCGCTGTTTGTGTGGCATTAATTGATACAGTAGTCTTGAATTCTTTATAAACCGTACCAGGATCCCTTTATTCAATGTGTACAGACGCGTGAAGATGAGTAGCACTGACTCGCAGCTTCCTCCCTAGCTGTGTATGCATATGCTGAGCGTGGGCTTGGGAAAGCTTTGAGAGGACAGTATAAATCCAGACAGTGTATTCTCACTTCTTAGGGTAGACGTGATGTCACATCCAGAAGTATAAATGCACCATTTAAAGGCCAATACATTGTTATCTGTAATATGGACCTCGCTTCAATGTAATGTCTCGGATGCTCAAATAAACTCACCAGGTTCATTTTTTTAAAAAAATACTCAAGGTCAGGGTCCTCCAACTGGCGGCTTAATCCCCTCCCCCACTCCTCTTCCATCCATTTCATCTGGCCTACCTGGTCCCTCCATAACCAGAAAATATTATGTTTGTGGAAGGGAACGCAAATGTATTGGCTTTTACAGCTGACGGATGTTTCTCAAATAGGGTAACTGGCCCTCAACAGCCAAAAGGTTGGAACACCCTGATCTAGGTGATACAAAAACAGAGAGAGCTGAGAACACTCAGCAGGCCAGGCAGCATCTATGGAGAAAGGAAAGTGAGTCAATGTTTCGGGTCCACGACCCTTCGTCAGAACCCTTTGTGGACCCGCAACGTTGACTCACTTTCCTTTCTCCATAGATGCTGCCTGACCTGCTGAGTGTTCTCAGCTCTCTCTGTTTTTGTTTCAGATTCCAGCATCTGCAATATTTTGTGTTGTGATCTAGGTGATTATTGGGGTGCAAAATTGTAGATTGCCACAATCAAATTGTTCCCTTTCTCTCCATCTCCCAACCAACCCCCCCCACCTCCTTCCCACACCCCACCAGTAGTTTAAGTACTTGGAATGTTTGATTACTTTGACCCGCACAATGTATTTCCTGCTTAACCTCAGCTTTTAATGACAACTTTTCAAAGTTTCACATCAAGCTTAATATTTACACCACTCGAACATTGAATTTGCTGGCTAATTAATGGCTGATGCCCATTAATTCCATTTTTCTTGAAACTTAGTTTTGTTCTGGGAATTTAATGTGACTGAACCATTGAACTGAACTGCCTGTGATGTTCTCGCAATGATTTACTCTGAAAATGCTGAGCCGGGAACTTCACAAGGCCTGACGTGTTGTTTTCGATTGCAGGTGTCCAGATTGGACAAACGTGTCAGTGGAACAGACAGCGACTATGACAATACTCAAACTAATGAGCTGCCACTCGGGTGAGGAGCTTTTGATTGATTGTGACGTCTTGTTACGTTCAGCTGGATTTCTACCCTTATGTGCATTTCAAGGTCACTTAGACTTAAATATTTCTAATCATGTCTTAGTATTTCTCTCAGGTTATCATCGTAAGTATTAGCACTGATCTCTGATTTCCGATCATGTCATGAAGTGCTGATGTTAGAATGACTTAATTGATGTTCGAATGAGCCATTCTTTTTTATTTTCTTTCAACCTGCACTACTCCTTCCTCTTCATCCCCATCTCTCCCAGGATCAAGGCAATTACTCCTGCTGAGCATTGTTAGCCCTCTCACCAAATGCCCATTCGTGTGTAAACCTGGAGATTGAGTGTCAGCAGGCTATTCAACTGTGAGATTTTCGCAACTAAGATTAATCTAGTTTCTCACACTTTCCGGGGAAGTGGCTGGATAGCATTTGAGAGCAGTGACGTAGGCTTTTTCTCTGAATGTTTGAAGCTTAAATAGGTGCCTGTTAGATTAGACTTTATGATGATAATAATCCTTGCATTTGATGTAGCATTGCGGTGCCTCAAAGGTCTTCCTTCGCAGGATATACTGTAAAGTGCATTGACTGTATTTTGTGGGTGAAACTTTCATCGGGCGTGTACTATTTACATAGTCTATTGCCCCGGCTGATATCACCATTCTGGCAGGTTAAACGGGGCCCTCCCTGCTGTTGATGAACTTGTTGTAGCAGATGCTTGACTTGCGAGGATTTGATGTTTACTGTGGTTTACACAATTCAAATTTGTGGCTGCAGTCAGTAATTGGCGTGGCCGAATTATCTGCGCAAACCTAAAACCTCAGAACGTATTGTTAGACTGTTACTTTGTTATTGAAATAAGACATACAACCCTTCAATTTGCATTGAGGTGCAAAATAATTTATTATTTTCTGGAAATTCTAGCATCAACCAGGTCCTGACTGATGGAGGCAAGTATGAGTTTCTCAATTCCAGGTGAACTTCACACTTTTGAAGCTTCTTAATCTAAAGTGAAGTGTCTTAAAATCTCTGGTCAATGACATCTGCTCCTGTATGTACTCACTCACCAACAGCTTGCAATCACTACCCATTAAACGCTACCACTTAGGCCTGTTGGATTCAGATGACTTTGTCATTCATGGTGTGATCTGAACTCCGCAATCTAATTACAGCCTTGTAACACACTCCCAGGCATCTGATATTCTGAATGCGCACGGTGATGTGCTGAATCTCACAGTAAGGCTATGTTTCAGTTCACGTCCAGTGTATCGTGTTCGCGGTTAACGTCTCTTCTCCTCTGCTTAATAGCATCGCTGATGGGAGAATGGGCCGCGAGGATGAACTCCATCTGGAGTTTGATGATCTGGAAGGGGAACTGGATCCAAGCCTTCCCAGTACTGAGGATGTGATCCTTAAAACAGAACAGGTTACCAAAAATATCCAGGAGCTTCTGCGCGCAGCACAGGAGTGTAAGCATGAAAGGTCAGTATCAGTACAACAGCAACTTGCATTTATATAGCGCCTTTCACGCGGGATAGCATCCCAGAGCTTATCAGGAAGAAAACTTCCTTTTAGGATTCATGGAATTTCCATGTGTAGGTGGGATAAATGGAATTTTTGGTTTGGATGCTCTTAAGCACGGTGATGGATTTCCACATGCTTTAGACACCTGGCTGATCAAAAAAAAAAGTCAATATTGTATGGGGAGCCAGTGGTTAGTGAAAATAAATTGTACGTTTGTAGCTTCAAAAATAAATGGATTGTTTGGCATTTGCAGTAGGGTGGCCTTGTGTTTATAGATAAATAGTAAATGGCTTTCCAATAAATGGTGTAATGCTGCCGAGCTACTCCAGCTGTAAATCCGAGGCAAATCCTAATGTTTTGTTCACAGCTTCGTGCCGTGCTCTGAAAAATCCATGCTGCAGTCACCGAAATGGCTTCCCTTTTCCCGAAGGTAAATGTTCATTGTAAAATCTCGCCGGTCGTTTCTTAACTTTTTTTAAAAAAAAATACAGTTGCACACGCACATTCCAGTTGCTTCTTTGCTCGATGCAAATGAACAATTGTACATCCGTTTAATTCCACTTCTATTTTATATGAAGTTGTTTTTATCTGTTAAAATATCATCGATGTTCATAAAACGGAAGAATTTCACTTGCCACAGGTCTCTCATCGGCCATTAAGGTTTCGACTGGGTTTGATATCTTGTCTGAATTAGAACATTAGAGTTAATTTTATACTAATTGGTATTTTTTAAAAATCTTTTGGCTAAAGCAAAGCTGTGTGTACTTGCGGCTGGAAATCTGTCGATTTTTTTTGACCTGTATCTGTTTCTTCTCAGAAACCTGCACTGGAAACCGTTCGAAGCTCTTTGAGATTGCTCAACGCAAGTGCCTTCCGACTGCAGTGCGAGTGCAGGAAGACTATCCCTCCAGAGCCAGGGGCACCCGTTGACATTCAGTTGCTCACGCAACAAGTAATCCAGTGTGCCTACGACATCGCCAAGGCAGCCAAGCAGCTGGTTACCATAACTACCCGTGAGAAAAAGCAATGACGCTAAACCTCTGCCTCAATCTCTCCAAGTAGATTTGGGAGGCACATCTTTCTTTGAAAGCAGACTGAAATCCCTGTACATATTCTGATTTCAAGTACTGTGGATTTCTCTTTGTCCCCCACCCCTCTCCCCTGCCCCCTCACTCCCGACCCCATGAAAGAATTTCACCTTCAATCATAGATGCGAGCTTTTGGAAAGCGTAGACTTCCAATAATGTGCTGAAATCGCCGTTAAAGGTTAAAAGAATTACCGCAACTATATAATGACGAGGGTGAAAATGCGTCTTGGTCAAATCCAATGACCTTTGACTTGACATTTTGATTAGATGTAAATATTTATTCTCTGAACGATCAGGGTCTTGTTACACTGGAATTCTAGACACTTCTAGCTGACTGTAAACCACAGTTGTGTATTTGCAAATGTACTAAGTGCTACATTATCTATCGGTGGATTCTATGGTGCAAAACATTCAGTGAAGCAAAGGCTTGTGTATCCACTAAATGGTAAGCCACAGTTGCAAATTGAAAAACACTAAGGTTTATGAATGGATTACTTAAGTCACTGTGGATTCATTTTGACATTACCTGAGGCTGAAGGCCAATGGATGTTCTGGAGCACCATTAGAAAAATATGCTTAAGTATGGGGGTGCCTGTTTTGTATAAATACCATTTGAACCTATGACTATAACTGACAGCCATCAGCACCATTACATTTTGTGTACTGTATGCCTTATAACAGTTGGATCTTGTTTTTAAATGTTTCTCTTCCTAGTGATTTAGTCTTCAAACTTTGCTCCATTCATGGCAGTTTTCCTCCCCCTGACCAGCTCAAAGGCCGTAGACACTTTTGGGGACTGTAAACATGCTCTTTGATTAACAGCTGCTCATTACAGTGATTGCCATGAGCTGAATACACTAGCTGAACTTTGTAAAAGTTCACATGAAACGTCTCCCAGTTTAAAAAAAATAATACGAACACTATTAAATTCAATAACAAGTTTTGGACATTAGTCTTAAGAGATGTAGGTGCTGGAGCCGAGACCAATATTTTCTTTTGATGATTTTTGGAAAAAACTGACTGGTTCTTGGAACCCACTGTAGAAGTAGTGTGTGAGTGGATACTTTAGTGCTCCTTTATGACCAAGTGCTCTTCTGGGAACAGACAGGACATTTTCAGTCTCCAGGGTAGACCTTAAGGTGGATTGGTCCTCAGATGCCACTTTGCTTTCTGAGTTGAGTAGAGAATCCATTATTATGTCAGCCTCTTTAAACTCATCATGGGTGACTTGATTGATTGAATTGTATCAGTGACTATTCTCATTGTTGTGATAGAAGCATTGGAGCATTGTTTCATTCTCTTTGGTTAAAACCAAGAAAGGCCCATAATTTCATGACCAACACGCACAATTCCAAGTGCGGGATAAAAAACGCCATACCCAAACCTTTTAAGTTAATGCCTCGCTTTAGCTTGACCTTTGATATAATGAACACTGATGCTCAACACTACAGAGTGACCATAGAAGATTTTATTTATCTGAATTACCTTGGACAATACCAGTTTGTGAAATCCTACATTTTAAAAAAAACTTTCCAGCACCTTTTTAAATTAAATGTTTGTAATCTAGACCACAAAATACAGAGCTTTTTAAGGTGGTGGCAGGCAAGTGCTTTTGATGATAGAGAAATCCAAATTCACAATTGAATCTTTGTTCTGATCTGTGTAAAATATTAATTTGGTTGAAATCACTTTGGAGATGGCAAGCAATTGATGGAAATTTAGAATCTGCAGACATTTTAAATGACACAGATTGATTTTATTAAAGGGGATGTTCACTAAATAGTACCGTAGGTTTAAGGAACGTGGAACTATAAGGCTTTGGATAAATAAGATTCTTCTATGGTATAATGAAGAATGAACCCATGTATTTTTTTTCTAGCCTTAAATTACACATTAGGCATACAGTATGAGCTACTGCTTTGTCTCAGCAAATCTATATGTACAGTTCAATAATGTTAAACATGAGTTGTTATCTGTAATACAAGTTAATGATGTAAGTTGAATAATCCAAACGCTACATGACTGCATTAGGCAGATTCAGTCGCTGAATTGTGCCATGTGAAAAGCAAACAAACCACTTGTTGGACTAATATGAAAGTATTGTGAAACCTCAGTTTTTCTTCTGATAAAAGTATTTCTCATCTGAAGAAACGTCTCATTTTTGCGGTCCACAGTGCTTGAAAATGATACTGATTATGCAAAAAGGGATTCCGAATGTGTGATTTTTAAAATGGATTCAGTGAAATACAAAAGGAACACTACAGTAAATCTGGCTCTGACTGGAAGACAAACTGCTCATTCCCCAAAGTTGTTTGGAGGGTACGACTGGCATAGCGTGCAATAGAGTGAAAGGGAATTAAATTTTACTATCTCAAGTGTCCTAAGTTAAGTGGACCCAATCTTCTGCTTGTAAAATTTTTATACTGCAATGTTAATTTAGATTGTAACTCTGGGCAACTATAAAGAAGGGTTCTGAATGCCTATTAAAATCCATGATGAATGGCGTGATTAACTCGTTGCTTTGCTTGAAATCTGCTGCTGTGAGGTTGGGAGGATCATGGGCAGTAGTTAACGGACAAAATGCAAAGACCATTTCTTAAGTGCACAACCTGCAGTATCATGGCTTTGTGCTGGAATTGCTAATTGCCTTCTCTTTTCTTCCCAAGCTAAACCTTTTTGGATTGTTCTTTAGTTGCACTGTGGCATAGAAAAGAGGTTGCAAGTACAATGGCTTCACTTGTTTTTAAGTAATTATCAAGTCTCGTTTACCCTAGAAGTCATAAGTGCTGCTTTTCAAAAATAAAAAAGTTCCATATAAGTTATTCCAAAATTGGACTGGAGTACTTAGAATGCCTTAACCATGGTTTTATATAAAAAAAACTGGACATCCTTGGGGGCAGAATGAATATAGAATTAGCAGTTGGACAGTTAGACCTTGAGCAATTAAGCAGATCAATTAACTTTCATAAGCACTACCATTATCTTAGTCCCGTCCTCCCCCTCCCAAAGTTATCTCTTTCCGGTTTGCAAGACTCACTGCCACTGCCCTAGAAATGGTGCCTTCTTGACAGCGTGGATTTAATCCACTACTTTGCCTTTAGGTCGGAACACAAATTGAGCAGCATGTTTCCCAGTCTGCTGCATACATGTAAGTAAGTGTTTCTTGCACAGCCAAAAAGTTTGGCAACCAAACTAGAGTAACACAGTACCAATGGCTCACATTAGATATGAGCAGTACTGATTTGAGTCTCAGTAAACTGAACGCAAACTTGGAAGATGTTGAAATATATTTTCATCCAAATCTGTTTCTCCCAATATTTTGTACAGTGGTGTCCTGCATTCCTTTCCCTTTGACAGCCTCTTTAGCAGTGGCTGCAGTGATGTGCATCAAATGAAATTAGTGCTTTGTCACCATCAAAGTAAGTGCCCAGACTGTTAACTAACCTAGAAATGTACCAACTAACTGTGCAGAAATCCAGGATTGTGCTGCAGGAAATAGCCGCCTACCAGCCAATGTAATTGATGGCTTGAATTTGCTAAGGCGTGGAGTGACAATAACGAGTACACATAACATGGATTTGAGGCGGTTTTGAACGGTGGTAGGTCATCTGGGGATCATTCAGCTTGCAAGTCTATATAGTCGACCAAGAAAGTTTAAGGGCAGCATAATTGAGGTCCAGGTATCGGTTAGTAACCTGTGCAAACCGCTCGAGCTTTGCATTCATGATTCTTTGAGCTTCCAACAGTATTGCTGCCTTGTAATTCCCCCCGTGCCATTCCTGGCCAGAACCGATTGTAAATCAGAATTTGTCATCTTCTAGCAACAATTGAGTCTTGAAACGTTTTGAAAAGTCACTAGGTAATCCAATTGAAGTGAACCCAATTTATTGTTGCAGTCATAAAGGCAGTTTGTCAAAGGAGGTCACTGATCCCATAAAATCAGAAAGGCACCATAGGGAATATATACATGCTGTATGTATTGAACCATGTTAGAGACTGATTCAAGTAAAGATTTGACTGTACTCCATCTTTGCAGTGCTCAACACTTAATCTTGTGTAGTAATATCTCTAATCTGCTGTAAATTTGCTGAAGAAAAATCTCCAAATTACCTACATGTGAGCAGTGCAGAAGATATCCCTTTGGCCCATTTTTACATTCACAGTAGTCTCCCGATTAGCTCAACCCTGGCTTAACTTGTCACTACCACTTAAGTAAGTCATGTTGTCAATATCCCGCCCGCATTTATTTATGTATTTATACATATGCCTAACTCACCGCTCCCGATAACTCGTCACTGAGCACTTTCCCTCTTGGGGTGACGAGTTATCAGGAGTTAGCTGTATATATATTTCCCAAATTATATCAGGTAGCAGTCTGATCTCTGGATTCAGACCACTTGATAAAATATAGTGTGACTCATTGTCCTTTTTTTGAAGAAACTTCAACCTTGTGCTCATTTCTCTTCTCCCCCCCCCCCCACCCGATTTATTTTGCTCTCTATAAATCCGCACTAAATCCTGATGTGTGGAATAAAATATTTCCTTTCTTTTAAAACAATGGGTGTCAACGTCTGGTATTTCAAACCAATGGTATTAAGCATGCACTTTTGGGTTATTGAGTGCAAAAATAGTTAACCAGGTCAGTCACTGTTGTATCTATTGTACAATGAATGCTAGTTGTAACTAACTCAATTTTAGAAATGCACTCTATTGTGGAACTGTGGTGGTGGGTTCCCCTGTAAACTCATCTTATTGTACATTTGTATTGAAATAAATATTCACTTGTGCTCGGTGCTCGATTTGTATACTGAATTATTCGTTTGGTTGAGAGGTAAAAGGCTCAGTGCAAGCAAATCTAATTTTGTGATTTTTAAATACGTAAGATAAACAGTAGTTGTTGGTTAGACCCTAAATGTTACTAAAGTAATTGCATTTAAACTAAACCAGTTCTACTCAAGGCTATCTTTCAGACAAGGTGGTAATAAAGCGTTGACTTTATATGATTTGCAATGAATCTTTAGCTGTCGGAAGTGTTTCCTTTACTCAAAAGGTACTTTCCTTGGGTTTCTGTGCTGTGCAGGTGCTATCTTTTCATTTGGATCTAGATCTAATCTGGGGTGGCTGAAAACAGAACATCAGAACACACTAAAAATGGAGTAATGTTCAAAGCAGATCATAGAGGTATAATGGCTATAATGCAGGGCATTTAAAGCATGACCCAGTTTCCATTGATTCTCTCTGTATTAGAATATGACCTGTCTATACTCTATAAATCTGTTCTACAAATTACACCCTCACAAAGAAAACTACCACTGGATTCTAGTGAATAAATATTGCACTGATTGTACATGAAACAAAAAAAAATCATGGCAGTAGCTTCCAAATACTCGAGGTAATGAAGACTCAGGGCAACGATGCATAAAATTTGAAAGATATAAAATTTGTGGGATTTATTAAACAAATGTGCACTGTGTAGGTACAGAATTAATTTACATCACACATCAACATATCCAGGATTTGCTTTTCCCTTCTCTACCGACCGCTGATAGGAAAAGCCTGGAATTGTGTGCTTTCAACATGTGGCAGCCATTACCCATTGCCTAATGGGTCCTGGAGAGAGTGGGCAAATCACCATTTGCAGCGAGCTTTCTCATGAAACAAAAAATAGTCTTGGCCAGGGTAGCTAAAATTGGCCTTTCAACTTTTCCCAGTTGCAGCGAGACTGGAGTTTGATCAACCAGTTTCTGGGTCACGCTTTCCACCTTGTTGGTTTATTTCCGAATAAAATAAGAATAGTAAAATCCAACGTGGGGTTGCACTCCTTTTGGTACCTTTTCTGTAATTGCACTTTTTCCATTCTATGTGCTGGTTTTGAGATGAAACTAATCTATTTAGGAGGTTATAATCCAGTCCGCAGCCCTCCCTGCTGAGCCAAACCCTCACTTAATAGCCCATAAGAATATTGTTTGCTCAGGGGTGTAATTTGAGCCATTGTTTGTTGCGAGATGCTGTTTTATTTGGAAATGAAAAGCCTGGGTGTCCACATGGCTGCCAGGGTTATATATATATATATATATATAGGTTAGCCAGGGCAAGTGGGCGTCCAAAATTATATTTTCGGTAATGTTACTTGCAAGAAGCAAAGATTACAATTGATGCAATTTTGACTCTTTCTCAGCTCTTTATAGAGTTGTTTTTTTTTAGAAAACTCAATTTCTTGGATCGGTCAACCAGGTGGAATATAGAACGGCGGCCCAGTCAATGTACTTGGGCAAATAAGTATTTCTAGAGCCCCAGGATGGCTTCCCTGCGTGAGGGGTGCTATATAATTGTATGTATGAACATGACCCAGCAGGGATCACGGGATAGTGATTGAACCGATTTTTTTTTTTGGGGGGGGGTCCCTCTTTCTCTAATTGTGAGACCGGCATTGAGAGCATTTGTACATCTACTACTGCTGTGGCTGACGTCAACTAACTGGCCCAAACTGACGTCAGACTTGCAACTTTATGGGCTGTAAAGGCTGCTGCTCTTTACCCAATGGGAGGCGGGCCGGGGGAGAGAGTTTTAACCAAAACGTCTTAACGTAAGAGCGCCAACCAAAATTACAACTGTGCTTTGGACTGCTGGACTGAAAAATGGAGGCCGATAAATCCCTGAGTAGAAGGAACACCGCTTTCAATAGTTTCTCCTGCCCCGTTCTGAGCGTTTACCGATTTAACAAGGAGTGGGAAGTCCCACAGTCTCCTGAGTAAGATCATTTCTGTGCCATTCTGTCATACCGTTTGATTTTTGGGAGCGGGAGGGGAGTTGATTCCTGCAGCTGTTTGCACAGAGTCTGGCCCCAGCTCCAGGGTGGGGTGCTGTGCTGTACTGTAACTGCCTCTCACTCGCAACAGATCAAACTCCTGAGGTCCATCAATCGCTCTCGTCACTCTGTAGTTGATCGTAGGGCAAGACTGGTTTCTTTTTGTAGAAACATCTCTTTTTCCTCCTCTTGCTAAACAAAAGAAGTCTTCTCTTCAGAACATCTGCAACACACAAGACATTCACATTAGAGCCTTTCACATCCAGAAGCAAGACCTCCTCCTCCTCACCACCATGTATGGGCGCAACCTGTGTACCATAGAAAGTATTCACTAAGTTGTGCTTCACAGCAGACCTAAATAAAGGAGGAAAAACTATTTAAGGTGCATGTCATGGTGTTGGGTTTAGCACAGCTGTTAAACATCTGAACTATAAATAACCTTGAACTACACCTTGAAGTGGGTGTGTTCATGTTTGGAAAAAGAACATTTTCCTCCTCACGTCCAGGGTTAATTGCTCGTTTGCTTCAGGGGTGTTTAAGGCGCCAAGAGTAAATCTCGCTCTCTAAATCATCATCTGTATATCCACTATTGACGTGTGAAGCTCCACAGTGTCTGCCAGCTCCTAATCAGCTGCATCAAGCATGAGATTGCCCTCTGGCTGCACGCACACACACTGCCAGACGCACAAACACACTGCCTCCTGCGCACACACACACACACACACACCCAGACGCACACAGCCGTCCTAGTAGGTGATCAGAAGTGGAAACGGGAGCAAGATCAACCTTGCGTTGTCCCTCTCCACGTTCTTGCTTCAACACTACTCTTCCCATCCTGCCAGGATCTTGTAACTGAAAGCAATCCATAATAATCCTTGCGTGTGGTATAGAGCCTTATCACGTCGTTGAGACGTCTCAAAGCGCTTCACAGGATATATTTTAAAGTGGATTGACTGTTACGCGGGTAAAATCAAATACATAAAACAAAGCTCTCCCAAATACATGAACAGAGAGATGGGGCCTTGGGGTTAAAGTCTCACCTAAAGGACAGCAACTCTTTGACAGATCCGCGCTCTCCCCCCAGCACCGCACCGGAGTGTCAGCCTGGACTGTAAAGTCTCCATAAGAAAGATGTTTCTACCTGTTACATTTTCTTCCCGGTTGCTGCCCGGAGCCCAGTATAAGCTGTGGCTCTTGATGAATTTCCTGTAAAGCCTGGTGTACAACACGGCCACCGTGAGGAACACAAAGAGGAACGTCAACGCTGCAGCGGCCCAGGCCGCCTCCTCGGTACGTGGAGTCGGGACGTACAAAGCCTTACTGTCGAGGCGCGAGTCGGTTCTCTTGACGGCCGCGGCCTCCGAATTCTGCCGCGTCTTGTCTTCGCATTTGCATTTAACGTTCGCTGACTCCGCGGCTGCACTGCCGTTATGCGAACTCAGGCCCCCCTGGTTCGGTGCGGTCTCGTTTGCAGCGACCTGACCTGGTTCGGCCGCGCCCAGCCCGTCCCGTTCGCCGCTGGAAGAGCTGCCGCCTGCGTCCTGCAACGGCTGGGCGGGTACCTTCGCACTTTTCCCACCTTCAAGCGATTGGCCTTCAGCGTCGTTTGGAGGCCGTCTGTCTTTGCCAGTCACAGGCACGGAGATGGCCTTGGGTTCCTTCTGCTGCCGGGCAAAGTGGGGGCTGTTCCCTCGATTGTCCTCTTGCTTTTTAATCCCTCCCTCGCTTTGCCTTCCTTGTGCTTGCGGAGGTTTGCCTTCGCTGGTGGAATTCCCAACCCAATGTCTCTGGCCCGACTGGTCTTGCTCCGCTCCCCGTCGAGACTCTATATTACTTGGCTGTGAATGTCCAGCAACGCTAGAGTTCTTACCCATATCAGCTTTGGGGTCCAATGCACCTATCGTTCCTTGAGGGTCACTGTTTTGTTGGGTTTCGCTCTCTAACCCCTGACTGACTCCATTGCGTTCTCGTCCCAAGATTTGGTCAGGAGAACCATCAGTCACTGAGAGCACAGGATTGGGCGGGGACTGTGGTTTCGTCACCCCGCTTGACAGTCGCCCCGTGTTGACTGCACTTGTAATGTTCTTTGCCATTTTATTTCTCTCTTCCACCTCTCTCTGCACACGAGCCTTTGCTGGTGACTGTGCTTCATGTTGAATGGGTCGAACTGGCTTCTGCCTGTCCTGAACTTCACGTCTCCTCCTCAACAGCACACAGCCACTCTGTAGCATTGCGGACAATGCACTTCCCTTCGTTTTATCCCACTTTCTTATCGATGGCCCAAAGTCTGCATTCATGAAGTAGCTTTGCAGTACCTGTCAGGGGAAATGCAAATGGCTGCTTTTTAACCAGTGAAACAGCATCACATTTATTTATAATAATGATAATAATAATCCTTGCATTTGATATAACACCTTATCACGTCATTGAGATGTCTCAAAGCACTTCACAGGAATATACAACAACCTGCATTTATATAGCGCCCTTCACCCGGGGTAGCATCCAAGAGTGCTTTATATACTGTAAAGTGTAGTGACTATGACTGTGTCTTTTGTGGGGAATTTAGATAGCAAAGAAAACTTCTGTTCTTGTATTTCATCGCCAACATCGTCACTGAGAATTTAAGATTGTATGTTTTATGTTGACGTGTAATGCATTCAATGCATCATTTATTTCTGTGTGTGGGTGGATGGGTGTTTAAAAAAGAATCTAAATAAAGAGCATGCCACAAACTGGAATAAACCTTTCTTGAAATAAAGTCCAGATGTTCTTTTTGTGACAAGTTCTTTGTACTTTAGAATTTTATAAGTACAGATTGTGGTGAGATTCCCTTATTTAGAGAAAGCAACAAAAGCTATGCTTTGTATTCAAGTCCCCGGAAACCATGGACTATTTTCAATAGCTTTGCTGCAAGAGCCAAAATGTCTGAGCATTTATTAGTCTGGTTACTAAAGAACTGCAGCTTATTAATTAACTCTGATAAACGCAGAGGCAGAAAGACAACTGGACAAAACGCTGTGCATCTGAGCCAGATGTGGGGTTACTTGGCTATTATGAACCTCCGTTCCCACCGTTGCTTTTCACACAAGTTCTGTGCAATCCCACCAGCTCGGAGAACAAGGTTAACTGATGCAATGAGACAGCATCGGTACCATAGCAGTGTGCCTGTCTAGGTCAATGAGTCAGTGTGTGAACAATCTCGCTCTGAAATACAGGAGACTGACAAAGCCAACTCGTCTCCTGTGAAGATAACTTTTTCCTCTCCAAGCTTCACGTTACCTTGACTCTGTGTCCAGGGCAAACTGCGGCTCGGTGAGCGGGCTTAGACGCCAGTTTTTCTTTGCCGTCTCCCATTTTTGACCCTCGCGCCCGGCTGACACTCTTCCTCAGCCAAAGAACGGCTTCTCTCAAGTCGATGGCTGACATTTCCAGACGTCTGCCCCACCCAACCAGGGCCAGAGGCTGAAAAAAGCAGGAGAGCCCCGCTAAATAAACCTGTAATAGCGGCTCTGCACTAAACACACGTAACCGTTACATGGGCAAACAGTTGGGAGTTGAGATTAGGATGATGTCTTGAGAGGAGCAAACACTGACCAAAAAAAAAGGACTAAGTGGCCTCCTGCCTTGTCATACATCTCTATTGATATTGAGGGTGTTGACCAAAGGCAAGGTCAAAGAGATATATTAAGAGGGTTTTGAAGGCAAGAAGAGAATGAAGAGGTTTTGACAGAGAATGGCAATAGCCATTAAGAATAACAATAATAATCCCTGAATTTGATGTAGCGCCTTATCACGTCTTCGAGATGTCTCCAAGCGCTTCACAGAGTATACGATAAGAGTGAATTGACTGCGTATATTGTGGGCAAAACCGTTGTAATTAACAGTGGGACAGAGGTGGGGAGGACCGTGCAGTAGGATCAGAGTTGGAAAAGCCGCAGAGATGCTTACCTGCCCTTGGGTTAGGTTGGGATGAGGGGTGATGGTCTGATTGCACACGCACGCTTTGGCCAGGAGGGAGAGTTCCTTCTTCAATCTCGGGTCAACACATGGGTGGTAGAGGAAAGCGATCCCACCGTGCTACGCGGAAAAATTAGGAACCAGAGTTTAATACACAAAGCCAAATATTTTAGAAGCGCAAGTACACAATTCTGACACTATCTCACCCTCCCAGAAATGCCAAGATACATTCTCATCTACGCCACCAGCCAGAGCGCAATAAGGACAACAGGGATGATTTGAATTGAGATCTGTTTTTCCACCTCCTCGTTCTATCGGGGCTAAATCCCTCAGGAGGGAACCAACGCCACGGAGAGACAGTTTCTTGGCAGCCTCGACTCGCTGTTAAAAGGAACTTTCTGGAGCTTTGAGAGTTAGAACAGAGGATACNAAAAAAGGCTTTGTTCACCTTCACTGGTACCGGTTTCCCCACACAACGACAGACACTTAAACGTAAGCTGTCCTTTGTGAAGAAACACTGGCGAAAATGTGGCCACATTGAATGAGGATCTAAACCCACCTCATTCCTGGGGAATTCCAGACATCTCTGTCAACCAATCGTGCATCGGTTCAAGTTTCAAACGGAACAAATCTGCCCCCAAAATACACAGTTCACTCATTTTACAATGAAGACTTTGAGACGTCTCAAGGACACGATAAGGCGCTGGATCAAATGCAAGGATTATTATTATTGTTATTACAAACTAATAACTTAGATCAGTGAAATTTTGAAAAACTATAGGATTTGAGAACAATAACTTAGTTTGGGAGGTTTGTAAGAGGCTTCATAAAGTAGGTCAACCAGATATCTCCCAAAGAAACCCCCAAAGCAAGTAAACACAACAGCAATGCAACCACACCTGTTCATGATGTACTTCTTTGGCCACGTGTGGTACTATCTGCCGGGATACAGGAAGCACAGGTTAGATATGAAACTGAAACAATACAATACACTACCATTTGTATCTGGGTGGCACCTTTCATGTCGTGAGGACGTCTCAAAGTGCTTTGTACAAGTGACTGGGTACCTGAAGCGGGAGTGGAGTGGGGGGGGGGGAGGGAAAGATGACCAAAAACATGGTGTGACTGACGTTCAAAGGATCAATCTCCGAGAGTGGAGAGAAAAATCAAGCGATGACCGGGTGGAGAGGGAGATTCAGCCGACAGGATGGTTTCAAAGGCGTTGGCTTTCTCTCTCCCGGTGTCCTGGCGAACAATCTCCTCAAGTAAAATCGGTCAGGTGTCTCAGGGCTGTTTGTGCGACATTGCTGTGCGCGATTGTGCTGTTACATTTGCCTACAAATAGACAGTCACCCCATTTAACAGTAAATCCTGTGAAGCGCTTTGAGACATCCTTCCAACACGATCAGGCGCTGTACGAAAGGCAAAGATTCTTATAACTTGGAACTGAACAGCACGAAGCTCGCTCTCCAACAGGATGTACGTACGGTGCTCCACGCCAGCACTCCGCACCTTAATAAAGTTGTCTCCGAAGATGAACCCTCCATGTTGTCACTCCCATTATCTCAGCATTTAACACGACAGTGAGCAGATGACGAACGCCGCCACATTCTTTGAGCAATAAAACATTCCGCGCTTCAAACCTTCACTGGCGCGATTAGCAAGACAGGCAGACGTACGTGACAAAGCCGGTTCAGCCGCTCGCGTTACGGAAGTGCCACTCGTGCAACGTGATCCGCGTTGAATAATGTAGATCGTAACGTTAGCCTGAGCCCGAGATTGTTATGCCTTCGCTCACGAAACACGCAGTGGCTGCGCATTACAGTCTAATAATCCTTGCATTTGATGCAGCGCCTTATCACGTCTTCTGGACGTCTCAAAAGCGCTTCGCAGAATATACCGTTAAAGGGAATTGACTGCGTATTTTGTGTCCTGGGAAGTGCTTTGGGAACGTCCTTCCCGACGGCCAAGTCGCTGCACCAAAAGTCAGGATTTATCATTCTCGTTACCTTCGCGGACGTTCACCTGTCTCGGTGGTTTCGTGAGTTGCCCGGGCGGGTCACGTTTGCCTCGCTCGCCAGCCGAGCGAAACAGAAACGGTCTCTCCACCCCCGGCTCGAAAACTGGTGGCGGACCCGTCCGTCAAATGTTATACTTTACCTTCTCTGGAAGTGGCCAGGAGGGTCCCGGGCAGATCAGCGCCTCCACAGGCAGAAAATCCACGTCAAGAACAACCTAAAAACGCAACCGATCGGCACAGCGTCAGTCGGGAAGGTAAACTCTTAGCGAAGTGCGCAAGTCTGCTGACAGGGCGGTGAGGGGGTTTGGGGGGTGGGGGGTGAGGGTGGGGGGTGAGGGGGTTTGGGGGGGTGGGGGGTGAGGGGGTGGAGGTGGGGGGGAGGGGGTTTGGGGGGTGGGGGTGAGGGTGGGGGGTGAGGGGGTTTGGGGGGGGGGGGGGTGGGGGGTGGGGGGGGGGGGGGGGGGGGTGGGGGGTTTGGGGGGGTGGGGGGTGGGGGGTTTGGGGGGGTGGGGGTGAGGGGTGGGGGGTGAGGGGGGGGTGAGGGTTTGGGGGGGGAGGTGGGGGGGGGAGGGGGTGGGGGGGGGAGGTGGGAGGGGGGGAGGGGTGGGGTGGGGGAGAGGTGGGTGGGGTGGGTGGGAGTGGGTGGGGGGGGGAGAGGTGGGGGTGGGGGTGGGGGGGGGGAGGTGTGGGGGAGAGGGGGGTGGGGTGGGGGAGGGGAGGAGGTGGGGGGGAGAGGGTGGGGGTGAGGGGGGGGAGGGTGGGGGGGAGAGGGGGTGGGGGGAGAGGTGGGGTGGGGGTGAGAGGGGGGAGGAGGGGCGGTGGGGAGGGGAGGGGTGGGGTGGGTGAGAGGTGGGGTGGGGGGGAGAGGGTGGGTGGGAGAGGTGGGGGGGAGGGTGGGGTGGGGGGTGGGGGGAGGTGGGGGGGGGGGGAGAGGTGAATCAAAACAGAGCTATCACTGAGCAGAAAGTTAGGATAAAAACAGGATCTCCTTAAACTTTGGGGCGGAAATAAATGTACTCTTCCCCAACGGCACTGATTTATTTCAGCAGCTTTTCGGGTCGACGAGACATCTCAAAGCGCTTCTCAGCATTTTCCCGTGACCGCGGGCGCAACGGTGTCCACAAACAGCCATGACCTGAGTGGGTGGCCTCAATATTTTATTCGGGGGGTATTCTTGGCCACGATGATATTAACCAGGAAAAGGGTTCACGCCAATCGGCGAAGAACCAGCTTCCTACTCGCTGCTGCGGTACACACTGGCGAGTGGTGGAAAGAAACTCTCCGAAGGTTTTTGCCGGGGAATCGAGCACCGATCCTCTCGCTTGCGAGGCGAGTGTCTAACCCCCAACACCCCGCCAGGACTCCCAAAGTCATTAGAAAGGAAGCGTCTATTTTCACTTCTCTGTTTACACCGAGAGTCTTCGGGGTTGGATTACGTCAGTCTTGATTCTAATGTCCACAGACCCCCCCCCACACGCACAGCACAAAAAGGCACGTGATTCCGCACGAATTGGGAGACAACATTAGGACTCGGGCACAAACTCATATCATATTGAACCAAAAGCTTCCATGGACAACGATAACGTGTATTTATTTATACAGCGCCCTTCACGCAGGATAACGTCTGCGACATTAGTGGGTTGGGCGCCTCCATCTGGTACAGTAGAAACCGATCAAAGTTCCCTTTTTATCAGTAGGTACCAACGCACTTGAAGTTAATTTTATTCATTTATTTATTTGTTAAACATTAATTTTAAACGCTCTGAACGATTGCCACATCACCTCGGGCAGCGAAAGCTGTCGGCTAAAGCAAACACGCCGTTATTTTACAAGCGTTTGCTCTGAATTGCCATGAAATGGTTCTTTTCTTATCCCGAGCTCTTGTGTTCTCACCCCACAATACTGTACGCGCCACACAATACTGTACACGCCACACAATACTGTACGCGCCACACAATACTGTACGCGCCACACAATACTGTACACGCCAAATAAACCTGTACGCGCCACACAATACTGTATGCGCTACACAATACTGTACACACTACACAATACTGTATGTACCACACAATACTGTACACACCACACAATACTGTACGCGCTGCACAATACTGTACACACCACACAATACTGTACACACCACACAATACTGTACATGCCACACAATACAGTATACACCACAAAATACTGTACGCACCACACAATATGCAATATAATATACAAACCCATCATCACACAGATCGTTTGCAGGGGAGATAATTAGTGCTCCCTCGAGCGGCAATCTCGAGACATTACAACAAAATCCACACTTCATGAATCTTGTAATAATAATAATAGGAACTTAAGTTCAAAGAATTTTGAGAGTATAAATACAATACGAGGCAATTTACATTTTTGTAGCGTCCTTCACGTCGGAAGGATGTCTTAATGTGATAAGTGAGGAAACGTTCTACGAAATACAAGCAGTTTCAGCAATAAAATAAGCGTTTGATCATTATTATCCAGCGAGGCTAATGAGGCCGCAGTGAACAATCCTGTATTTTCTATACACCGAGTAAGTCGCACATAACTGTTTTTCCGAATTAAGGCTGTGACGATTCAGATGATGTACAGTCCAGTTCTCCCTCACCAGCCCATGTCACAGGATCAATGCTGCTCTCTAGTGACTGAGAATGTGCACGACATTTAATTACTGTACGAGTTTCCGTCAACCTTTAGGCAAGAAAAACAGTTGCTATTATTCTACAACAGAAAGGTCATGTTATATTTGACCAAACCTCCAAACGCTGTGCGCAATTGGCTGCCGCGTTCGCCCACAAATATACAGTCAATTCACTTTACAGTGTGTTCTGTGAAGCGCTTTGGGACGTCCTCCCGACGTGAAAAGCGCTATATCAAATGCAAGGATTATTATTATTATTATTATAAAGGTCCTCTCCCCCTCTCATTGTCCTTTTAACTCTTCCCTCTAAACATAATCCTCTTTGCTCTCCTCTCAAATGCATTCCCTCCAATCAAAAGACAAGTGACTTACGTGGTGGTTTCAGTTAATGCTCTTAATTTTATTTGTTTTAATCATCGGCTCTTTGATGGATACAATACTTCACCCTAAACTCGTGACAATCCTGGCCGCCTGTATTTTAATTCTGTCATCTGGAAAAGCCATGAGGTAGATGAGCCTGCTCGAAAACTGAGAGTTGGATCCAAACAGGAGGACGTAGACTGAATCCTGGGAATATTCACGCTTAACAGATCTATAGGCCGTCCCTCTCCGAGTCTCGTTGAGGTTGCTCACAAACAGCAGGAGATCGTTGAGAACGTCCGGCCGCTGAAAGTAATTGAAGAGGAAGAGGAAGGAAGAGGGAATTTGCACGTTCAGGAGGTCACAGGTCAGCTCGAAGTTGGCCGAGAGGTTGATGAGGACCTGCAGGACTTGGAACTTGATGCTGGACGTACCGGTCTGCAGGAGGTGGAAGAGGCTGGGGAGGGCCTGCTTCAAGAGGGGCTGGTGCTGACGGCTCAGGGACATCTTGGTCAGGAAGCGGAGGCAAGGCAGCTGCTCAAACTCCTGCAGGTTGGAGGTGGTCAGTTTGAGCACCTGAGGGATGTACTTTGCCAGCAGGTCCCGGTTGAGGGGGTCGTTGCTGAGGTAGTTGAAGACGGTCACGGCGCTGGCCTTGATGTAGTTGAGAGGATCGTCCAGGGACTCGGCGATGATGGAGACCCCGCCCTCGGCGAGGAACAGTTCCTGACTCGTCAAGAATCCTGGGATCCGGTAAATGCTGTTCAGGATGGTGCCTCGGATCACTGGGTCCTTGTTTTCGTGAAGGATGGTCAAAACCGTCTTCAGGTCACGCAGGTTCATCCTGATGGATTTCTTTGCTGAGATCGACCCCGAGTGATCTCCCACGGCACCCAGGCTATCCATCGTGCTGTTTCCACATCGGTCAATGAGGATGTCCTCTTCTTCTTCCTCCTTCGGAGTGTCCAGCCCCGATCGGATGGCCTTATACAGTAAATACGCAGCTCCCGCCCCTGTTAAAATCCCTATCATTTTCTTCCGACATGTGTCAGCAAAGAGTTCCCCCATCTCGACCCCTGATCTCGATTACACCACACCCTCTGCCAGATTCACCATCATCCCGTTAAGCCTTGCATTCTGCGTGATAAATGTGCGTGCGTCTCTCTCTCTCTCTTTCTTTCTTTGCTCACTCTCTGTTACTTCACGATTGTGTCACAATAAGTCACATCATGTTTTACTGCATCATAATGGTACTTTACGTAGCACAGACGTGACCGCGCTTGACAATTTATTGACGAACCGGCCCTTCGAACGGTCTGATGCAGCCTCGAGGAAAATCGATGAAGTATTATTCACTTTGTGGGACATAATATCCCTCCAAAACCAAAAGCAATAATAAATTGGTCATTTTCAATCCACGACTGTTTGTGGGACGCTGCTGTGCGCAATTGGCTGCCGCGTTCGCCCACAAATATATACAGTCAATTCACTTTACAGTGTGTTCTGTGAAGCGCTTTGGGACGCCCTCCCGACGTGAAAAGCGCTATATCAAATGCAAGGATTATTATTATTGTTAATGCTGTGTGCAAATTGGCTGCTCCGTTTACTTACAAAATCACAGTCACCGCATTTTACGGTAAAATTCTGAAGTGCTTTCAAAACGTCGCAACTACCTGGTAAGGAATGGATTCAAATGCGAGGGTTGTTATACTGTTATTATGGATTTACTTTCTCAATCCCATTCCAAATCTGAAACACCTCTAAACAGATTTCTCCCACGACATCTCTTTTCGTGACTGCAGAGGGGATATTCGTTGCGATCACCTCTTTGCTCTAAGATGAACATCAGACTAATAATTGTGAAAGGCACTTTCAAATGTAAAGATCATTAATATTTACGTGATTCCCACCTTCAGACTGGTTCTCACTTAGTTTAGTCACTGTTTTGGGGCACTCCTCTGACAAGTTATTTGTTATCCAGTAGCTTTAATTATATAGTTACAATAACATTTCAGAATAACTCTTGGCAACTCTTACTATTGACTTAAGTACATAAAGAGTTATTTTTACGACCCTTTAATGATGCACTGGTTTTCTATTTATCATTTTGTATCTTCGCAGATTTCAGGCCACATTTGCTGGAACGCTACAATTATACTCTCTCCCAAACACTTTGCTGACACAGTGATTTATATAGACATGAAAGAAGTTCATGACTCATCCGAACGCAGTAACAGATTTGTCGATGACTATCTTTCAAGACGGAAAAGATATGAGGATCCTTGTGGTGTTTCATCGACTCGGATTTTGGCTCGGCTGCTCACCCTTTCGGCTCTGAATCAGACGGTGGTGGGTTCAAGCCC